AGGGTTTCTCTGTAGCTTTGGAGCCTGTCCTATAGCTAGCTCTTATAGACCAGGTTGGCCTTGAACTCACAGAGATCGGCCAGCCTCTGCCTCCCAAGTGCTGGGCTTAAAGGCATGCATAGCAACTTTTAAAAAGGCAAAGCACTTAGTAGGTGAAGGCAGGAAGAGCAACAGTTTAAGGCCAGACTGCCTCAAAAAGTCTGCCCCAGAGCAGGAGGGTAGGGTCAGCTGTCAACTGTAGAAAAACAAAACGCTGCAAAAAAAACCTGACACAGCTTTGTAGATCCAGGACTGGAAGGATCTACAAAGGAATGAGGACTGCTACAAGTTCAAGGCCAGTCTCGTCCACGTGGAGAGTCCCAGGTCAGCCAGGGCCACACAGCAAAAACCAACCAACCAAACAAACAAACAAGATAGTAAAATTAACAGTTGCTCATAGCTTACTCATCAACAACATTTAATCATAATAGCAAAACACTGAACATTAATATAAAAACCCTGTGATACGGTTGTGTTAAAGCTTTAGCAATGTGTTCCAGGAAATGCTGGAAGAAGAGCAGGGCTAAAGAACTAAATCTTCACCTGCAGTAGAAAGTCAGAAGGTGATTCTGGGAACATCAAGTAATTGAATGACACAGGTCATTCAGGGTCATCAAAGGACCCATGAAACAGCGGAAAGGGCAGCTCTAGTCTAGGGGACAGCATCTTAAAATGACTATTTCAAGAAATAAGTCAGTTACCTGAAATCTTCCAATGTGTCCCTGGAGCTCCATTAAGGATCCTTCATTTACGTCAACATCGAGTTCACTTAACATACCTGTAAAACATGGCCTATGTGTAAAGTAGCTAGTGCTATAATAAAAACACTATAGAGTGCTTCTGGAATTTATATCCTCTACATGCACAAGCCGACTCCTGCCATCAAAGTTGGGAGAAACAGAATTTTCCAAAGACTGAGCACCTTTCATAGATTAGCAACACTAGCACAAGGCATTCACACAACCTAAAACCTACGGAGGTACTTTCAAAGGTATTTTTTAACAGTTTAAGAAAAACCTTTACTTAAAACTTTCAGGAGGAGAAGAAGGAGGGGAAACTGTGGTCAGTATGTAAAATAAATTAAAAGAATCCAAAAAGAAAAAAACCTTCAAACTTTCTAAAATCAGAAATCAGTACTTCCTATTAAGCAGTGAGAGCTTGGACTTACAAGATGAATGAACTTTAACCCTCCCCCTAACAATGAAGTGGAGGAGGAGCTAACTTCCGCCGTAAACACAAAGGATAATAAGCTGCAGGACAAGCTCTGAGCCTCAGCTCAGGACCTGGCTGCTCCCTCGAAGCAGCACGGAGGAATGAGAATAAATTCACGGAACACTTGCAGACCCTAAGCATACTGAGGAGTTAAGACTTGGGAAAATCAGGAGGCCCTTGCAATACCTGCACTACACTGTGAGATGTGGTAGAGGCAGGAAGGGGGACTGTCCTGGAGTCAAACTCTGACCTCCACTGCTGAGAAGACCCCAGTTCCCCTCAGAGCAGCAAGGTTCCAAATATTCTGAGAGGAACTGCACCCAGTCTTAATCAACTCTCCCACCCAGAGGGCTCAAATCCAGACGCAGCCACAAAGAGGCAAAGTGCTAGAGACAGCAGGCCAGGGGCTGTCTCACAGAAATAGAGGAAGTGTAGTTAAGTGCACAGGCTCCGAATGCACACTGCCTGGGACTCTGTAACAGTCCCATGCTTCAAATCCCTCACCTGTAAATAACAACAGCCCAACCTCTCGAGAGCCTTACATACTCGAGTTGACTGCCATGCTGGGGAAAGCAGCGCCAGCACATACCTAAGGAACATGTTACAGGGTCCCAGGCATTGCACGTACTGAGGGCACAAGCCTCATCACCTGTGCTATCATTCAAGATCACTGGCAGCACCAAGCAACCTTAAACACAAGGGGACCCAGTGTTTACCTTCTCCTTCAGGGAAGAGGCCTGCAGTGAAAATTTAAAATGCCAAGACTGACGTTAGGGTGCTGGCTTTAGAATTTACATAGTATAGAAATTATACTTAAGAACAAAAGTGACAAAACATTCATCATTTCCTAGCTAGCATTTTTCTTAATCATGGCAACCTTTTAATAACTAACTTTTCTATACTCTTTATTTTATTTTTGGTTTTTCAAGACAGGGTTTCTCTGTAACTTTGGTGCCTATCCTGGAACTAGCTCCTGTAGACCAGGCCTGCCTCTGCCTCCCAAGTGCTAAGATTAAAGGTGTGCGCCACCACAGCCCGACTTAATTTTTTTCTATACTCGTGAAATATTTCTAGAATTAAAAGAAATTCCTCTTATTTCTCTTTAAAAGCAGCCCTGGCTTTCCTGGAACTCGCTCTGCAGACTGGCCTCAAACTCACAAAGATCCTCCTGTCTCTGCCTCCCAAGTACTAAGATTAAAGGTGTGCACTACCACCACCCAGCTTTCAATAAGCTTTTAATCCATTAAATGCATGTAAAATTCTTCTACTGCGCTCGTCTATCTCCTCTGCATGCTGTGATCCCAATACATGCAGTGCAGTGTTTGCAAAGCTATCTACCAAATGCAGGTAATGAGACCCTGATGCTTTTTAATTATCTCCTTGAACTTTTTGATTATTTTGAGTATATGGTTGATATAAGTATAAACTTATTACTTAATAAAGGTAGTTGAATGTCTCCGGTACCAAGTTCAAGTCAGTTGCATGGTAACTGCAGAGTAAGAGAAACGTCTCTCCTCAGTCTGTGCCAGTCTGTAGAGAATTAACTTGCGCTCAACATAACCAACTCACCAGGAAGTGCTGCTTTACTTATGATTCCTGTCAGCAGAGCTAATTCCTGCAAGGAGCCGGCGCTAACATCATGACAGCGCAGGATCGCCTGGATGGTATCGGAATGCGAAATGAGAAACTGCAGCACCTGAGCGGCCCAAGATGGAGGAGGAAGAGAAGAAAACTGCATCATATGTATAATTCATCTGCAAGGAACTGTATGCAATGAAGAACGAGAGAAGCAGCTGCTTTCTCAACTTAAACAGCTCATTCCCTCACAAAGCAAAATTAACTGCATATTAACTCAGCAGAGCTAGCTGTAGACCATGACTTAGAAACACTGCATGAAAACACCTATTTTACTTCTTTTGCTTTATTTAAAAGGAATCAAGAGAATTTCATATTAATGGGCATAAAATGGTCACTAAACTCAAAGAAGTCACTCTTTGTAAGCTTGACTTGGGTAGCATGCTTCAACCATAAAAGTTCTTGCTACTATTGATAAAGCAAGAACGAAAGCGACAGAAATTCCGTCCTTCTTTCTGCCTTTGTTATTGTCTGGAATACTCCTGAGGCACTAAATCCAATTCCAGGGAAAAGTGGAGGTGTGGGGGTGTGCGGGTAGAAGTGGGGGAGGATCACTTAATCTAGTAAAGAAGCAGTCAAGGAAACCCCGAGTTTAAAGAATGAGCTCAAAGCCATTCGAGTATCAAAGGATGTCCCTTGGGCTGCTGCAGGGCAAATAAGGCATCTCTGTAGAAACCACAACTACTACCTGGGGAAGCAACTCTGACTGCAATGTAGGAAAATATCAGAAACAAAAGCATCTCATTACCTCATGCTGTTAAAAAAATCACGTGTAAATATGATACTTTATTTTATACTTTTTATTTTTGTTGGAAACAGGGTCTCATAGAGTCCAAGAAGGCCTTGAACTAGCCACCTAGCTGTGGAAGACCTTGAACTCTTGATCCTCCTGCCTTACTTCCTAAGTGTTTGGATGACAGGAATGTATAGCCATACCCAGTTTTAGGGGCTTTGTTTTCATTATTTTGAGACCGAGTTTCACTGCATAGCCAGGCTAATTCATTTTATGGCCTCGGCCTCCCTAGCACTGGACTTACAAATACACACTACTACACAAGGCGTGAGGCTCCCCTTTTGTATTTTCTATAGACCTTGTGGTGGTTTAGATGAAAATGACCCCATAAGCTTGATGTGGGAGTGTCATATCAATCTGTTGATTTCATTGGTTGAGCAATAAACCAACTGCTTGGCCTCATAGCTTAGAACATAGATGGGAGGAGAAAACAGAATAGAATTCTGGGCGGAAGAGGAAGTGAGGTCAGACTCTGCTCTGCTCCCGGAGAGACCCGACAGCGCTGCTGGAGCAGAGACACCATGATGGATGGAGGCTAGAATCTTCCCGGTAAGCGCACCTTGGGGTGCTTACACACATTACTAGAAATGGGCTAGTCCAGGTGCGTGAGTTAGCCTAGAAGAGGCTAGATAGAAATGGGTCAAGCAGTTAAATGAATACAGTTTGTGTGTTGTTATTTCAGGCATGAGCTAGCCAAGCAGCCGGGGTGTTGGGGACGCAGCCCCGCCGCTCCTATTTCAACATAAGCTTATATGTTTGAATACTTGGCCCCAGTTGGTATAACTGTTTAGAAAGAATATGGCCTTGTAGGAAGAGGTGTGTCACTGAGGGAGGGTCTGGAGGCTTGAAAAGATACACACCATTCCCAGTGTGCTCTCTCTCTCTCTGCCTCCTACAAGATGTGAGTTCTCAGCTGCCCCTGTGGCCATGCCTTTGCTCTGCCATCGTGGACTCTAACCCCCTGAAACTGCAAGCTCAATTAAACCCTCTTTTTTAAGTTGCCTTGGCCTCGGTCATGTGTTTGCCAAAGCAATAGAGGTGGTGCACACCTTTAATCCCAGTACTCAGGAGGCAGAGGCAGGTGGATCTGAGAGTTCGAGGCCAGCCTGGTCTACAAGAGCTAGTACCAGGACAGCTAGGGCTGTTCACAGAGAAACTCTTGTCTCAAAAAATAAATAAATAATAAGCAAGAAAAGAAAAAGAAAAATGAAAAGCAACTAAGACAGGCCTACTATATACCCTCTCTAAATCCCTGGCTAAAATACATCTTAAATGTCATCTTATTCCTACCAGGATAACTGCTTACTTTTCTACAGAAACAAATTTCAATCTCTTGTTTTCCATCTCAGGATTCTACTAAGCAGCTACAATGTTCACTCACACAAGATTACAAAAGCTGGTCAGATGCTCTATACTCTGCTTTGCCACTAACAGGATGGACATGACTTCACGTGAGCTTTCCATCTACAGAATCTCTGCATTTCTAAATGGAGGTTCTGCATTAGTGACTTCTGTACAAGTGTTCACCTTACCTGTCCTGCTGCCTGCAAGTGCTGGGCTATACTCGACGTGAGGATGACCTGGCATAGCTGGAGGGCTGGAAGAAGAATTTGCCGGTATCGATCCACGGGCGTTGGGATGAACATTGGGGGGTCTCTCATACCAAACATGCTTGATTCATTTCAAACAACAAGGAGAGAGCAATACTGCATTTAAGATAGGGTCCTAAAAATTCATTATTATTTACATGCTAAATTATAAACACTTATATGTTAAAATCTTTAAACAAAATAAAATGAGTGGAACAGAAGCAGAACACAAAAAGATGCTTTATGTAGACAAGGGATTCTATGTCAGGATCTAAAAGTATTTAACTCAAAACTCTCTTTACAGACAGAGAAATAGTTAACTTTCGTGTTTAAAACTTGTAGTTTAGGGGGGCTGGAGTGATGGCTCAGCGGTTAAGAGCATTGCGTGCTCTTCCAAAGTACACAAGTTCGATTCCCAGCAACCACATGGTGGCTCACAACCATCTGTAATGAGGTCTGGTGTCCTCTTCTGGCCTGCAGGCATATATACAAACAGAATATTGTATCCATAATAAATAAGTAAATATAAAAAAAAAGATTAAAAAAAAAACCCTTGTAGTTTAGTATGAGAATATCCCATCTCCTGAGTAAAACAGTTCTGTGTTTAGCCTAAATAAGCTTAGACACTAATTTGCCAATGGATTTTCTCTGAGTTTAAGCAATAACTAAGCTCACCTTAAGTAACTGTTATTGCTAGGAAGATATGCTGATTGCCTATCAATGCTGCCATCCTGTACACTGTGGGAGGGGGAACCAGAGCTCATGGGAAGAATCAGCTCTAAAAGTGTGTATATGACTTACAAACCTGACAACCCGATCTCAATCCCTAGATCCCACACTGAAAGGAGAGAAGCAACTTCCAAAAGTTGTTCTCAGACCTCCACACACACTGTAGTGCCTGCAAGCCACACACCCCCCAAATAAATAAAATTAAATTTAAAAAACCAAATTTAAAAATTAAATTTAAAAAAACTGAATGATTGAACTGACATCTGCTGAAAAACTTGAAACTTAAGGCTGGGCAGTAGTAGTGCATGCCTTTAATCCCAACACTCAGGAGGTAGAGTTTAGGGGGATCTCTGTGAGTTCAAGGCCAGATTGGTCTATAATGGGAATTTCAGGACAGGTAGAGATGTTACACAGAGAAATCCTGTCTTAAAAAAACCAACCAACCAACCAACCAACCAAACAAACAAACAAACAAAAAACTATCCTGAAACTTTTCTTCTCCCTGATTTTGTTCCTTATACAACCCAGGCTAGCCTCAAGCTCACAATCCTCCTGCCTCAGTCTCCCAAGTGCTAGTCTTACAAGCAGACGTGTACTACCACACCTACCAACAGGGTTTAAGTGTACTATTATTTTAGAAGGCCCCTGACTAGAAACAAGTATCTATGGAACTCATATAAAATAAGGCTGGCAAGGTAACACAGGCTAACAGAATTCTCACCCTCTCTCACACACAGCACACTACTCCTCTGAATGGAAAGAATTGGTCCCACCCACTTTTTACTATCTTGGGAACTTCCACTTACAAGAAAATGACAAAGGCATGCAACACTCCCTAACCCTTAGGAAAATTATCTTTGTGATTTCCATTAGTCCTTTACAATCCTTTGCTAGGAGTGTAAACAAGCTGGTTCGTGTGGACACTTACCCATGTGGGTCCATCTCTGGGCGCATGTCATATACCTGGCACTGTGCTAGCCTCACAACCACCCCAGACCTTAGGAGCTCCAATGCGCCTTGCTGTAACTTAGCCACTCTTGTGAGCAACGCCTGCAAAATTAAGAAAGGACGCATCAGTGCTGAAATCATGGCCAAGGGCCTCACAGGAACACAAGACACTCATACACATTCCTTATTAATCACTAATGAGGGGGAAATCCTGATTTGCCTATAAAAATACATCATATCTTTCTCCTAAGATATTTTATGGGAACTCAGAGGTAAATATTGTACATTTATACTACTGTACATGTATTATTGTTGCAAATCGTACATTATTATTATGAATTATTCAATTCAAATATAGTTTACGTCAACAGGTCAGTTGAGTTTGCTGTGCTCACTTCAGTGTGGCTTTAGTATATTAAATATTTAGCAAATATCTAGGAATAAATGGGTGAAAAGAAAAAGACTCTAAGACTTCCACGATGGTGACAGAGGTAAAATATTTAACATGGGGAAATTGTAACAGATCTGGAGGGAAGGAAATGACAAAGCAGACACTGCATTTAAGTTGCTGCTCCTTCCATGAACCCTGGCTTTCATGCCACTTTCAGGAGCATCCTGAGTCAGCAAGCAGCAGGATATGACCCTCGAACTTCTCAGGATAATTCCAGAACACCTTCACACACAGAAAATGCGTTCCTAGCACAAATTCCCAGATGTCAAGCTCTTAAAATAACAACAGTTTATATAACAGAAATACTCAGGGTGCAGCAGCAGCCCAGTGGAAAGCACAGCAGCCTTCCAATACACACCTCCGGGCCCTAAAGACGCTGCTGACCTAATGCCAATGTCCACAACCCTTACCATTTTGGATTCATAGGTATAAAGGGCTTTTAAGAGAGGAGGCTGTGGAGTCAGCAAGCTCTGCAGAGTACGGTCATCTTCCACCAAGCTATCCACAAGGACCTTCAAATAGCCACTGTTAGAAAGGTACAGGAGCCACTGCTGCTGCTTGTCCACAGAGACAATCCGATCAAGAAGAGCCAGGGCCAGCATCTAAAGGAAGAAGGAATCAGAATCAAAGGCGCAATATGTGAATGGCTACCAAACCACTGACAGCCACTGCCTTTACTTGAGGAACTAAGAATATTTATAATAAAATTTCGATGTTTTTGAGAATTTGGAAACTGTATGTAACTAGAATCTCAATTTCTTGATATAAAGAGAATTTTCAGTTTCAAATTTTAAATCTGAAGCAAAACCTGTATTAAATATAATTTATATTTTAGCCAGAACCAGGCACTACTTGTTTAAAAGAACAGAAAACTAATTTCTTGAAAATGTACGTGTGCATGCCTGTGTGAGATCACAAGCACGATAAAAGCCAGAAAAGGCACTGGATTCCCTGGAACTGAAGTTACATTGTGAGCTGCCCAATGCAGGTGCTGGGAGGTGAACTCAGATCTTCCCCAACAGTAAGCACTCTTCACTGCCGAGCCACCTCTCCAGCTCCCATGTTTTCTTTTAACTGTTACTTCTAATTCTAAAATTTTATGTGTTATTTAGAGGAATCTTAGAAAAGAATTAAAAATACATGTAAACTAATAAACACAGTTAAACCCATTCTGATCTATTTCCTCCCAGTGTTTTATTCTATATAGAAAAGTATTTTAAATTTTGAAGCATAATTGAGGGGTTGCTCTCTAGTTCGTATTTTATCCTATTTCTTAAGTTTTCTTTTCTTCCATGGCCATGAAGTAAACCCCGTAGGTGCTACAGGATTGTGCAGTGGGATGAAATCCTCTCACCGTGTCATCAGGATGCCACGATGCTTTACTGAAGGGAAAATGCAAGCTGCCTTCATAAGGTATCGTATAAAAGAGAACACAATCATGGCCAGCAGCAGACAGACCAAAGACCTATTAGGCAGGATTTTGTTGTTTCTATCCATGTTGTTCTACTTGCAAACCTCAAACTTAGCATATGTAATTAAGAAGAAATTCTGAGTTAAGATTCCACACAATCAAAACAGAGTAACACGACGGAAGCTACAATCACAGCAGATGAGCAAACTCACTATAAAATAATATAGAAAATAATTCTCCACCTGCAATGTACATTTTAAAAGTTGATTCAGTATACACCTTCATAAATGCACACTACTGTTATTTTACCCTTCCGATCTCGTGGCCATCACAAGCGTCTCGGCAGACCACTTCCATGAGGGCAGCACCATAACTTTCAATGATAGCCATATTTTCTCGTTGTAATTTACTAAACACATCTTCAGGGGCTGTCAGCCTTTCCCACATAGTTTTCTTAGCTGCAAGTATTAAAACAGAAAAAAATCCAATGAAAATCAGTTCAGCAACTCTATCTCATATCCCATAACAAAAGAAATCCATTACTACATGCGTACAAGACCAGATCAATGAGTTCAGACGAATGAACTCTAAGAACACATCATGCACGTACACTAATAACACTCATAATGTATGGCTCTTTCAGAAAGTAAAATTAATTATGGATCCTAAGAGAACCGAAAACTTGTATTTACCCTGCTAATCAATTTGCTTTTATAGTTTGTTGTCATCTTTGAGGATTTGGCTAAGAAGAAACAGATACGATATAGAAAAAAATATCACTCAAAAAGGAAAAACAAAGTTTTAATCTTTGGGATTTTTTTTGGTTTGGTTTTTTTTCAAAACAGGGTTTCTCTGTAGCTTTTGAGCCTGTCCTGGAACTAGCTCTTGTGTATCAGGCTGGCCTCAAACTCACAGAAATCTGGCTGCCTCTGCCTCCTGAGAGCTGGGATTAAAGGCGTGCGCCGCCACTGCCTAGCAATCTTTGGGATTTTTAAATTGAAATATTTATTAAAGTTAAAAACATTATTTATAAGGGAAATTTAAACATAATAACCATTGGTAGTATAAACATATATTTCATTAAGAGTCATACAAACCTTATAAAACTTTCATAACCAAAAAAAGCAACAGTTTTTATTTCAAACTAATTCCATGATTTTCCTCCTTAATTTCTGAACTACCATCTTTTTTGTTATTTTTCAAGGCAGGGTTTCTCTGTCCCAGAACTTGCTTTGTAGACCTGGACGACCTCAAACTCATAGAGATTCACCTACTTCTGCTCCTGAGTGATGGGATTAACAGCATATGCCACCATACTCAGGTCTGAACTACCATCTTGAACCAGGCACACAGCACACACTTGAGATCACTGTATAAGACTCTGAGTTTGATTAGCCTGGGCTATACAAAGATCCAATCTGTACAGAAATAAACTGTCATCTTGACGACTGTTCTAAGTGTGCTATAGACCTCCACCTAGTGGTTAACTAGTGTTCGCCACTTTGACTAAAGGAATATGAAAAATACTTTTTTAAGAGAAAAATATGGGAGTTATTGGGAATGAATAGCCCCAACTACATCTTTTTCTTTTTTAAAAGAGTCTGATTATTCAAAAAGATTCTTTAAACAATTTATTTTTCTTGACCTTAAAAATACCTGCATACAGGGACTGTACAGAGGTTAAGAGGTTAAGAGTACTGACTGCTCTTCCAGAGCACCTGGCTTGATCCCCAACTCTTACATGGTAGCTCATAACCATATGTAACTCCACTTTCAAGGGATCTGACATCTTCTTCTGGCCTGGGACACACTGTGCACAGATACACAGATATACATCCAGGCAAAACACCCAAACACAGAAAATTGTTTATACACACACATACACTAAGTAGGCACTACACCTGGTTGTTGTTATCTTCTAAGGTATCACGCAAGAATGACAGCCACCATAACAATGAGGAACTGTATTAAAGGGTTGCAATATTAGAAAGGCTTGGAACCACTGCTTTAATGAAGAAATCCTACCTTGAATTTATGTAAAATAAAATACACATATACTACAGATGAGCATTTGTACTAGGTAAGACCATTTTTATACGGCCATGAAAAAAAATCTATTAAAATAAAACTACATACTGCTTCATATGGGAATTCTACAATAAATCTTCCTCTTGAAAAGTAGAGACATATGAGAATTTTGAGACAGTATTTCTGTGATAGTAAAGTATTAGAATTTCTATGCCTATGAATAAGCAAACTGCTTAAAAGTTATGTTCTTACTATAGAGCCATTTTATAAGACTTCAGTAAGTATGTACTGTGGTGCAAGAAGAGACACTGTCCAAGTCTACAAACAGTGCACTGCAGTTCAAGAATATAAAACTACACATCACCTGAGACTCCTAAAAACTAAACATACACCCCAGCTTTATAGCAATCTAACGGTTATGTCAAGATTACTAACTGTAGATTGTAGTTGTACTGAGTCAAAAGATAGAGAACTGACATAGGTTTCAGAAGTTATCATCTTTAAAAATAGAACAGACTTGATTAGAAATCAATCTAACCTTACCAGCTTCTAATGTGTCTGGCTCATCTGGTCTCTGGGCAATCTGTAGGTAATAAAGTAGAGAGCCGTACAGGTGAGTCCTCACACGCTGGAAACCACCACCTAGGAACACAAAAACATGCAGTCAAGTGAAAACTTCTTTACCAATCAAATTCAGGACAAAATCATAATGTACAGAAGATGTCGATGGAAAAACCTGTCTTCAAAATAAAGTCTAGCAGTTTCTTCAATATGATGTGCAGCGAAGAGTCTCCAATAGAAGCAAAGCCCATTGGCCGGTTCTCTGCTGCAGGAGGGGAGGTCCAAGAACTATCAAGCATGAACGCGTAAGGGGCCTCGCCAGGTCCCGAGACAAGTGGCTGCTTCTGTTCTGTGCGGACAGCCTGGCTAAGGTGAGCGGTCAGGGTGAACACAGCGCCGGCCACCACTGGCATCAACTCCTGTGCTGCTTCATCATCCAGCACCTGAAAGTGCCCAGGGGATCAGAGTGAGACCCAGCATCATCATCCCTGTAACAAGCCTCACACACACACACTAGGCTCTTCAACTACCTTAACAATACAAGAACTAAGCCGAGCGGTGGTGGCGCACACCTCTAATCCCAGCACTCATGAGGTAGAGGCAGGCGGATCTCTGTGAGTTTGAGTCCAGCCTGGTCTACAGAGCTAGTTCCAGGACAGCCAAGTTACACCATAAAATCCTGTCTCAAAATAAACAAACAAATAAATAAAAACAAAAAGAAGAATGTTAGAACTATTCAAAAGAAAAATATTGAACAACTGTATGTAACTAATTCTTATCAGAATTCCATGCAGATGTTTTTGCTCTGAGATACACACCCACGGTCTTCGCCACTGGGATCTGCCCATGCCTCTTTTTACAAAGCTTCCTGAATGGTTATGTAATACTCTAGCTCAGAGCTCCTACTGTACAGAATCCACCTTTCTCAAGGAAAGCTTTCACATCAGTATTATAAACTCTAGTTTGCTTCTAATTTAAAAGCAAGAAAAAAATTATATTTACTTAAAGGCAAATGCATATACCTATACTACACAGTCATACATATAAATTTTTAGTCATATAAAGTAACTTAGAAAGTAAATCACCTTATCATGTACATCTTGTAAAATGTCACGAATAATCAGTTGTCGATCTTCTGCCTGGATGAGCTCCTGAGGACAAGCAGTTAGTATAATCTCTACCAGCTGCCTCCATGATTCCAGCGCGTGTCGTTTTGCATGAAGACACTGCAGCAACTTGTTTCTTCCAACAACATACTGAAGAATAGTGCTGATTTCCTAAAGCCATAAATATAGAAACCGGTTACCACTCAGGGACACAGTACCTGTTTTAAACAATTTCCTATTTTTAATACTGTCATTTATTCAGAAAACTTACTTAAATTACATTTATTAATAAATAATATTGTGTAACCTTTAAAATTTCAATATTAAAAAAATTACAAAAAGACAAAAGATTCCATGAAAGTTTAATTCTATTTCATTTGTTGTGTGTGTTTGCCACAGGAAAAGTGCAGGGTTCAGCAGACAACTTCTGGGAGTACATTCTTTTCTTCTATCATTGCGTTCTGGAGAGCAAACTCAAGTCGTCTAGCTTGACAACAGCTTCAGTCTGATTACTGAGTCATTTCACTGGCCCTCACGAGAGCTTAATGTTTAAGTAGTTTACTAATCACACATGCATTTATTGCTTTTTAAGCAAGCAACTTAAGTAGTATAAATAGCCGAAAGTGTCAAACAGAGCTTACCTCCATCAGCAAAGGCCTCTGTCCTATGGCTGCCATACCCTGAAGAGCATTGACTTCAGCTACGAGAACCCTATGAAGAAGCTAAGTAATTAGTGAAAAAGAGAAAAATATCATCAGACGTCAGTAGGATAATACGCAGCAATTACCATAAACCACCCTAACTGGAAAAGGTCCAGGTATCTCTGGACAGTGTAGCAGCAGTATGGTCCAATGTGCACAACAACATTAGCCATCCCCCTCCTTCCACAAAGGGACTTGGGCAGCAATTTAATGCTGGGTGATCAGTATTGTTCTCACTTTGTTGAGGATGTCACCATTCACTTGGTAGAAAACTAAAAAGCGAAAACTACTTTGTAGTCTTCGCTGGGTGGGAAAATACCTAAAGGAAAGTCGATGAAACCTCTTAAAGAAAGTAGAGGCATTTATTAAGTTTTATTCCTTTCTATTAGACAAAATAGCCCAATAAGCTAATAACAGAAATCAGTTCCATGGAAGAATGAAAATACACACACACACAATCACACTTTCCCGACAGTGGAAGTCTGACGCACAGCTACTGACGTTCTTTGACGGAACCCTCACCTTGACATTGCAGATCGTCTGTCCCCGTAAATTCTTGTGCTCACAGTTGGCAATGACTTGCTCAATCTGAGCACGGTCAAAAAAATCCAGCTGCAGAGGCTCAGGAATCTCCTGACTGAAGTCAATCGAATCAAGAATACTTAGAATCTTTCGACGGACTAGAAACAAGAAGGAAATGAACTGTACTCGAGGCACGGAAGAGAGAATAAAACACCATACAGAGCTCACTTTGAACATGCTATTCTCTGAAACCAAAGACCTTGCTGAAATCTAAACCTGACTTATTTCTGATATGGCCACTTACTAAGATATTTTCCCTCCGCTCTGTAAACCCAAGGTTACTGACAACAAATAATCCTTGACATAGCTTTTTTATGTAGGTGCAGGCTCCAGAGCTATATGTAAATTATCTTACAGTTTTTAGCGATGTAATGTGGCTATAACATACTACAATTCCAAGGGCTTCACCTTTTGTGGCAGTGTCAAAATGAAGGAATCCAGAGACAGACCTAGTTTCGTCTTCTATTCCTCCTTCACCATCTGTTCGAGCACCAACAACAAAAGATCAGAAAAGGAAAAACACACTTTGAAATTACATTTACTTAGAAATGGCAAACATACTGTATTTTGTTTCTGGTTCAAAGAGCCTTTTGTAATGAATAATTAAGATGCAAAGATTATGAGGACTAACTAGCAATGTTCATCTAACTCCTTTCATCCCTATGGGACTCATCCATAACTCTGAAGGGGATAATTAGAATTTCAAAACTGGCAAGACCTCATCATACTAAGAAAATGATTAAAAAGAAGCATGTATAATACACATTGAAATAGCTCCGGTCATGCTGGATCAGTGAGACAAATGTCACCATTTTGTATAAATTATGACTTGCAGATGCATTAAGAGGAAAATAAAATTACATCGAAGGACATTTTTGGGTTTGGGTGGGGTTTTTCCCCCTTTTCTTTTTTTTAATATTTATTTATTTATTATGTATACAATATTCTGTCTACATGTATGCCTGCAGGCCAGAAGAGGGCACCAGACCTCATTACAGATGGTTGTGAGCCACCATGTGGTAGCTGGGAATTGAACTCAGGACCTTTGGAAGAGCAGGCAATGCTCTTAACCACTGAGACATCTCTCCAGCTCCCCGCCTCCTTTTCTTTTTGAAACAGTCTCTCTACCTGTCCTGGAACTTGCTATGTAGAGCACTCTGGATTCAAACTCACAGAGATCTACCTGCCCCTCCCATGTCTCCCAAGTGTTGGAATTAAAGGCATGAGCCACCATACCTGGCCAAAGGACAATTTTTAATTTTGTGTTTTAAGGGTAACTATACTAAAGCCAGGAATAACCAGCTCTGTCTCAAGTGCCATCCTAAATGTAAGCTGTACACTCATCAAGAGCAGTCAAGACACCGCACACGAAGTATTAGCACTCACCTGAGTACGGCTTCACTGGCATGTCATCCAGGAGGAGGTGCAGAAGCCTCTGCGTATGTGACCGCTGGCGATTCAGAGAAGTCACTCTTAGTTCTATTGAGGCAGTCTTCATAAGCCACGACATTTGATTCAGCATAGAGATTTCATACTCTGGAATTTAAACAAATACATTTCATTTCCCATTGCTGTAACAAAAGGTCAGAAAATTCCACAAATCACCAGACACTGCCTCATGAAAGTCAGTAATTTCTGAATCTTACTATCAAGATTAGAACATGAAATTATGAAAGAAAAAAACGACACAAATGAAAAAGAAGTTATTCTGTGTCCACGAGAGATGAGGAGAACAATACAATTTTATTAGTGCCGGATGTGGTATATGCCTTTACTCTCAGCACTCAGGAGACGGGAGGGCTGTGAATTCCAGGCTAGCCTGATCTACATTGCAAGTTTCAGGCCAGCCAGATACATAATGAGGCACTGTCTCAAAAAAAAGGTTATTACCAGACTAGTTGCACAACAATTTTATAAGTCTCTCATAATTTAATATTAATGCCACTTTCTACTTTGTTTTTAAGTGTAATTTTCAAGTATATAACAATTCATAAAAATCTTATTCTCATTCCATAAAATACACTTAAACTCACATACATAACTTTATGATGATAAAATAGCTGGTGGAGCTCTTGCCTTCATATATAATCAGGGCTATAAATTCCATATATAAAAGAAACTTAAAGGGGCTGGAGAGACGTCTCCATAGTTAAGAGCACTTCCTACTCTTGTAGAGGACCCTGATTTAATCCCCAGCACCCACATGGCAGCTCACAACTCCCTATAACTCAAGTTCCAGAGAACCTGACACTCTTCTCTTCCGGGCTCCATGGTTTCCCGCAGGCACATGGTATATACAAACACAAAGGGAAACACACATATAAAATTTAAAAATAAATCTTTCAAAAGAAGTTTTCAGATTCAGTATTATTATGCTTTGAAATAGTCTTGCAATATAACCAAGGCAAGTCTCAAACACAGTCCACCTGCCTCAGCCTCCTAATGCTGCAATTGTAGGCATGTGTGACCATTCCTGGCTCAGTATTTTTTTTTTAAGATGTTATTTATTTATTAAGCATACAATGTACTGCTGGCAAAGAAGGCACCAGGTCTCATTACAGATGGTTGTGAGCCACCATGTGGTTGCTGGGAATTGAACTCGGGACCTCTGGAAGAGCAGCCAGTGCTCTTACCCTCTGAGCCATCTCTTCAGCCCCCCTGGCTCAGTATTTTTATGCTTGATGGATCCTGTGCTTTGAAGTACTAAATGATGGTAACGCAAACATAATGACCAAGCAATAATATTAACAGATGTCAGTCTATCCTGGTTGTTCTATGTGTCAACCCGACGTAGGAGCAACAACTGAGAAAGTGCCTCGTTCAGATCACAGACATATTAGGCACATCTGTGAGGCATTGTCTTAGAGATTGAAGTGGGAGGGCCTGGCCCATTGCAGGATGCCACCCTGGGTTTCTGGACTGGATGGTATAAGAAAGTAGGCTGAGCAAGCCAGTTAGCAGTGCTCAAGGTACATCTACCTTGAGTTTCTGACTGACTCCTCTCAGTGATACAGAGTGTGACCTGACTAGAAAGATAAAATAAACCCTTTCCTTCCCAGGTTGCTTTTGGTTATGGTGTTTATCACAGCAATAGAAGCCATAACTAAGATATAGGCCAAGCTAAGTCAATCTTTACAACACATATATCATAAGCCAGACAGTGACTATTCTTTTGTATATACTCATGTATAAAATTTTAAAGTTTCTATAATGTTTTTGTATAAGCAAAACCTCAATTAAAAATGAGAAAATTATAAAATTATAACACTGTCAATTGGATAATTCCCAAGGATCTTACAGTTTTCTGAGAAAATGAGAAAGCTGACAATTACTAGCACTAGAAATGTGTAACAGAATGTATGGACTCGGTTTCAAACTATGACGATATAAGGTAAGCTTCAGGCCTATACGACAGTGCAGGTCTGTGGGTTCAGTCGCTCAGGAGGTTGAGGCGTGGAGAATAGCCTAAACGCACAAATTCAAGACACCCTTGGGTTGGCTGTAACATGGCTCAGGAGATAAGGGTACCTGCACCAGGCCCAACTACCTGAGACTGATCCCTAGGAACTGTGTGGTGAAAGGAGAGAACCACCCCCTAAAAACTGTCCTTTAATCTCTACAGGCATGCTGTTGTGCAAAATATAATAAAAAATAATAATAAATTCTACTATATGTGTAAGAGATTAACACAAAAACATGGAGAAAAAAGTTTGCCAATAGTTCAGCAGAAGAAAATAAAAGCCAGGCAGTCGTGGTGCATGTCTTTAATCCCAGCACTCCATGGGTAGAGAGGCAGGTGGATCTCTGTGAATTCAAAGCCAGCCTGGTCTATAAAGTGAGTTGAAGAATAGCCTGGATTGTTAAACAGAGAAAGCCTATCTTGAAAAACCACACACAAAAAAGAAAAAATCCAGAGAGAGAGAGAGAGAGAGAGAGAGAGAAGAAGAAGAAGAAGGAGGAGGAGGAGGAGGAGGAGAAGAGAGAAAGCCAGGTGGTAGTGGCGCACACCTTTAATCTCAGCACTCAGGAGGCAGAGGCAGGGGGATCTCTGAGTTTGAGACCAACCTGATCTAGGACGAGTTCTAAGACAGCAAGTTCCAAGACAGCCACAGGGCAACACAGAGAAACCCTGTCTTGACAGACAGACAGACAGACAGACAGACAGACAGACAGACAGACAGACAGACAGACAAGACACACGCCTGCGTGCACACCAACCAACCAAAGAGGCTGGGGAGATAAGACTTCCTGCCTTCATGAACACCAAGCATACAAATATGACGCACAGATACATACATGCAGGGGAAAACACAAACTTGTTTTAAATATGTTTTCTAATTTTTAAAAGGAAAAACAATCTTGATAAAGTTTAAATTAGGCTAGAAACAGTTCGTAGTCATGTCAATAAACTAGATTTATAATTTCCTTTAAAATTACTTTTCAGTTTTATTTCAAGACAATTTGACTAGTTTCAAATATATATAAGACACAAATGTAAATTTTTCTAAGAAATATTCATTCACAAGCAGGCAAGATGTCTTAGCAGGTAAAAGCCCTGCCACACAAACCTGATGAGCTGAGTTCAAACCACAGCTCTGACTCACGTAAGATGGAAGGAGACAGGAAAAGTTGTTCTCTCATCTCCACATGTGCACACCCACGCACAAATAACACACACACAGAGGAAGAGAGAGAATATCCAATTTCAGTGATCTTGTCCTCCAACACAGCCTTTAACTTTTGTTAGTAAAGAACCAAATTCCCTCATTCAGATTATACTCGTGTATTTTACACTAGAAGTGAAAATAGGAATTTCTCAAGCAGAAATTACAAAAACACCCAGAGTACCAGTAGCAAGGAAACAAATGAGGTCCACAACCCACTGCTCTAAACTGTGTGTTAATAAAGCCAGGCAACAACAGGGTAGGCATCGGTTACACAATATGACCAATCCTAAGCTGAAAACACAAAACCCGACATGTTCTAAACCCCAAGATTTCTAAGTGCCCACATACCACAAGCAGAAAAGTCTACATCTGACCTCACATGACAGGTTGCAGACAAAATGAAGGCACGCTAAAAATCTGTGGTAAAATGAACTTCAGCTACTCCTATAAGGTTTGCATACACACATGAGCTTCGTGTTTAGAATTGGGTACAGTCCCCAGGGTCGTGTGGTGTACACCTTTAATCCCAGCTGAGGAAGAGTACATCAAAGGCCAAGCTCAGGTCCAGATGAAGAGCCTATCAACCAACTCATCCGTCAAATATTCCAATTCTGAAACATTTCTTACCTTTCAGGTAAGAGTTCTCATCTTATAGTAATAAAGCAATATAATGTCCTACCTTTGTTAGAGAAAGGAAGATGTTGCAACTGAGAAAACAAGAAATCCTGGCTGGTTCTCAAGTACCTCATAGTAGGACCAGATGTATCAGAGCACGCACATAACTGATAGATCACCTAATAAAATAAAAGCTCTCAGTCAGCACTGACTTGAAGATAGAAAAATATGAATGTAAAGAATTAAGATGCATCAATAATCCAAGCAAATGGAAAATCACATGTATAAAAAATGTAAGCTTATACTTTAAAAAACTTACTCATGTATTTTATGTTTATGAGTGCTCTCTATCCATATGAACACATGCATGTTAGGAGAGGGTATAGGATTCCATTATAGATGGCTGTGAGCCACCATGTGGTTGATGGGAAATAAACTCAGGACCTCTGGAGGAGCAGTCAGTGCTCTTAACTGCTGAGCCATCTATCTCTCCAGTCCCGTAGGCTTAGATTTCTAAACCCAGTTCAAAGTACTGACATTTGCAGACATGGCCTATAATTCCAGAACTAAGGAAGCTGAAGCAGGGTGATCATTAGTTCAAGCCCAGCCTAGGTTACATAGCAAGACCCTGCATTTAAAATAAGAATAAAAAAGTTTTATATGACAGGACTAAATCTTGAAATCATTCTAAGCATATTTATTAATACAAACACAAAATTAATTAAGCTTTAATATTTTAATTAATAGTAGTACTACCTAGTAGCCACTTCTGAAAAATCATAATTATTTCATCTCAACTTCAAAAAAACTCAGTAAAACTTCGTAGAATTCAAACAATCACTATTTAAAAAAATTACAAAGTAGTTCAACAATGAATCAATATGTGGCTGAAAAATGCAACATGACTTGAGAAGCAGAGTCTTTCCATAGGTTGATGAGTTTGAATTAATACTAGCAATACACTTCTGTGACTGTAAGAAGAGTATTTATTCTCCTAGCCAAATCTGAGGTCGCTGGTAATAACAGTCTATGACTATCTTGGCACAAGCATAGACTATGACTAAACAGAAACTATTTAAAAAGTTGAGCCCAAATCTTTCATGTATTTTATTCAAATAAATAAAACTTCATAATAAAATAAAATAATTACAAAGATTTGCGAACTTCACTATATTACAAATAGAAGCTCTGAATACAACTTTAACAAAATAGTAAATTTGAGGGGGAAGCATTTATATCAATCTAAGAAAAACTGAGGTCTGATAAATATACAAAGATCTCCATTATGTTATGCACATGATTATCAGAAATACCTAAATAGACAAAATGGCATAAACATGAAAATCACTCAAAATAAACCAAGAGTCCACCTGTTCTTATTAACAGACAATAATTAAGTCAGTTGTGGTGGTCAAGTAACCAGTCCCAGCTCTTTGGAAAGCTGGAGAAGACAACTTGAACGTACCAGTCTGAATCTCGGCTGGCAGACAAAGAAAGAGTCAAATATGTCTCTTAAAAATACACATCCCTGACGCAGATGATAAGCTTTTCAACTACTTCTGCATATATATCAGATTCCATAACACTGAGCTTCAATTACCTCAGATCTCTCATTAAAGAAGATCTAATTCAGATTCAAAGAAGCATGAATGTTTAGGAAAACCAGAGTACAAAAGTGAATACTGAAAATCACAAAGATAAACATGAAAATAACAGATATGTCTCCATTACACTGGGAGAATAATCCTACTTTTTAAGCCATGAAATGTGAATCATAGTGCTCTTGATCTTAAGTTGAGGAATTAGTCATGAATTATAAAGTCTAGTTCTCAGAACACTTGTAAATTGAGTAAAACAAGACACAAATATAAGGGAAAGTTCTCAAGCAAATCTGAACTCTAATCAGATTCTGCCATCTCCACAGCTGAGGACGTCCTTCTTTATAGGCTTCTTCAAAGGTGCCGCTTGTACTGACACACTATGCCTCAGCAATCCATTTCACTGATGGAAAATTCAACACCAGAGAAGCTACATAGCATGCCCAAGCTGGCTCAACCTGCCAGGGGACACAGATGGCGACCAGGGATCTTTTGACCCAAGCACACTCTAGAACGCCCCCAAAACATACTTTAAATACAGCACCACTGGTAAAATCCATGAAAACACCCCGTAGTTCTCATTTCTCCCACTGTTAGGAACTGCACGTCTGCAGGATTTTGTTTATGCCTCATGGATTTTATCCATAAAGACTGGAGAAATTGTTAAATGAACTCATTTCTATCCTAAATGCCCCTCTTCCATCTATGAACTCAGTTGCCCACGTTTCTGTTCAGTTCCTCACAGTGCTTCCACTACGCACCTGGTAGCACAGCTCGGCCAGCTGAGGATACTCCTGCACAGCCACAGGGCCAGTTCTCCCTTCTGTCCCTTTCTCCAGGATGTTGAAGATGGCGTGCAGGCAGGTCCGAGGGCAGCCTAACACTCCTACATGGAACCAAAAGGAAATGCAAGTTTTCTCAGGGTTTCTGCATCACAAAATCCGAGACTCCCTTTATCACAATCTAATTTTAGAAATACATGCTCAACTGTGATATGCTACAGGAAATACTGATACAGGAAATTGACAAATCTCAATTCTCTAAATCTTAGATCTTAATGTCTGACCTACAATACTTTTCAAGTGTCATTTTCTAAGTGAATTGCCGTGTGAACACAGAATTTAATAAATGAAAACTTACATCAACAAACACTTAAGAAATAGATGCCCATGTGTGGTACAGCTATACCTGGGTCTTGCAGATTTGTAGTACTGATGGGTTTCTTCAATTCAAAGCCCAACAGGTAGAGAGCAAGATTGGGTGGATTGCGTTCTAGAGATGTAATGAGAAGATTCAAGATGTGGATTCTCGTTTCATGGCGGATTGCAGCTAACTTCTTTTCATATTCTGAACCTGAATACAGAAACCACAGAACAAAATCACATATCAATGGAAGGAAAGCACACCAAACTTTAAAGAAGCGTGTACTCAAAACCCCAAATCTACTTAATTCTTGACTGACCACTACAAATGCTTTGATTTAAACAATCTTAAAACTATTTATTCTAGCAAATTCTCAATTTCTCTTATATGAGCACCAGATGTTTCAAAGTTTTTCTCTTTACACTGCATATGTATATAAAATAAAAGCACATCTGTTAATCAGAGCCATACCCTCTTCAACACGAACAAATTCTTCTGTGTCTTCACTATCCAAGCACTCTACGAATCCAGCCATCAGCTTCTGGCTCACACTCTGAAGTCACAAACAGAAAAATGATAAATTAATAAAACTCTACACATTAGACAACCAATGGTAAACATGGCCCATCTATTCACCTGTGAAAACAAAGCCAAATCTGTCCCAGTATTTAGGTTTGTTTTGTTTTGCATTTTATGTGTATGGGTATTTTGCCTGCATGTATGTCTGTGCACCAAGTGCATGCCTGGTGTCCAAGGAAGCCAGAAGAAGCCAGATCCCCTGGAACTGGAGTTACAAACAACTATGAGCTACCACACGGGTCCTGAGACTTAAACCCAGGTCTTCTGGAAGAACAGTCAGTACTTTTAACCACTAATCTCAATCCCTCTCCCCTCCCCCACTCCCGTCCCTAGATTTTAGTTGCTTTTAACTAAAAGAAAACTTAGCTATTTATATTGCTACACATAGTCAAAGCAGACATGGTGGCATGCACCTGTAACCCAAACACTCAGGAAGCTGAAGTAGGATGATCCTAAATTTGAAGTCAGCTTGCTCTGAAAAGAGAAAGCAGACCAAGTGTGGTGAGACACCTCAATCCCAACCCCTGGGAGGCAGAGGTAGACAGATCTAAGTTCAAGACTCACCTGGTCTACACAGTGAGTTCCACGCCAACCAAGGTTACATAATGAGACCCTTCCTCAAAAAATAAAAAGAAAAGGGAAGGAGGGAAACAGAAAAGAAATCTGGCAGGAAAGAGTATGCTCTGATCAGGAATGATAATTTGAACTTAAAGCTCAGCATAGTGGCTCACACCTGTGACCCAGCACTTAAGAGGGATAGGACATGCCTGGTGCCAAGTCTGAACCACATAGCCAGACCCATTCTCAAAAAGAGAAATCACATCTGCATCTCAGAGTAGCTCTCAGCCTTGGTACTGCCATCATTCCAAGGGGACTCACAAAGATGTGAGGTCACTTTCATTTGCTACAACTGAGTGTACTACTGACACAGTGGCAGGGAACCCAGTAATGTGAAAGGTCTTATAAGAGCTACAGCCAAATGACGATCTGGGGGCTCGTAGATGGCTGAGTGAGTGCAGGTGCTTGCTGCTGAGCATAATGAATTAAATTCAAACCCCAGAACCCACATGGGAAGAGGAAAACTGACGCCTCCAAGTTGTCCTCTGACCTCCAAACCCACTTCTGCAGGCCTTGTGCATGGAGATCCATTCCCTCTCTCTCCCTCTCACACACAAAACAAATAAAAACTTAAAAACAACAAACAAAATAAAGATCTATTTCATCTGAAGTGATAAAATGGCTCCTGTTTTAAAGCACTGTTGAGGAGATCCAGTAAAGGTCTGTATTTTAGTTAAGTACAGCCTCCTACAGACATAGATGTTTACAGATGAAACACAGCTGCAGTACTCCAGCAAGGACAGCACAGCAGCCAGAGCTCAGAGCCCACCTCTTCAGTGGAGCCTGGACCAGCCAAGGCAACATAACACCATTTCAAATGAGAAAAGGAGAAACTCAACTATTAGGAACAGAAGAAAAAGGAGCATTTGAGCCGATATAGAACACAGGCCCAGAGTCAACCTCTCCACAGGTGGAGGCAGGAGGATCACTGAAACAACACATTAACGGTCTCAGGAAGAAAAAAAAAAGATCCTTAAAAACACTCTATAATAGCAAACATAGCACAACTGTGGATCACCAGAAACCACAAAGGTAATTGGGTCAGCACACAGACGTGGCTACAAGATCAATGTCTTCAAATGCTAAGAGTGACGGCCATTTTGTAGATGACACAGTCACATACTAGAGTGCAAACACTCACAGAGCACACTGCAAAGGGTTAACTTCAAAGACAAACCACAAGCCGGGCGGTGGTGGCGCATGCCTTTAATCCCAGCACTCGGGAGGCAGAGGCAGGAGGATCTTTGTGAGTTCAAGGCCAGCCTGGTCTACAAGAGCTAGTTCCAGGACAGGCTCCAAAAACTACAGAGAAACCCTGTCTCGAAAATCAAAAAAAAAACAAAGACAAACCACAGTCGAGTGTACAGCTACTTCCTCACCTATCTCTGATGAATGCACTTACTCTTTGAAGATCATTCCACAAACAACAATACAACTCATCCAACACTGTAGCCACTAGAACACATCAACAAGAGAATCAGTTACCTGGTCATGTGTGAAATCGCCAACCAATTTGATCTGAATGTTGGAATTGCAAGAGATACAGCAGAGGATCTTGGCACTTTCAAATGCCAATTCAGGATTACTGTTCCCATGATATAGATACCTTCAGAAGAAAACATTGAAAAACAATGTGATCAAGCTTGGCTTTTCACTGTTGTCAGAAAAGAAAATTTGGGGGTTTGAAGATGGCTATGGCTAAGCACATTTGTGGAGGACCTGGTCTGGCTCTCAACACCAACATCTGCTTACAATTACCTCAAACTCCAGCTCTAGAGGATTCAACCTCACCTCTGACCTCTGCAGGTGCACATACACACAAGCAGGCACACACAAATACATATAAAAATTAAAAATAAATAACTCTTAAAAGAGAAAGAAAACTTAAAGTCTACAGTTCACCTACAATATAACACTTTCGGACAAATGAGAGAAAAGTGTCCCCCTTATAGCTACAAAAGAACCTCTTCTTACAAGTTGAGTAAGCCAAGCCATGCCTTCCAAAATACCTGTGTGAAAGTCTTAGTCTACAAATGACTATTTGAAAAAGGGCCTTTGTATATGTAGGAAATCAAGCACCCATGAGGTGATTAAGGAGGAGTGTGCTCGCTATGTTTATGTCAACCTGACACAAACTAGAATCATTTTGGAAGAGGAAACCTCGATCGAGAAGATGTTTCCACCACACTGGGCTTTGGGCAGCCAGTGATTTTTCTTGATTGACAGTTTATGTGTGAGGGCCCAGCTCACTACGGGCGGTGCCACCCCAGGGCTCATACACCTGGGTACTATAAGAAGCTAAACAAGCCACGAGGAGCAGGCCAGTAAGCACCATTCTTCCACGGCCTCTGATTAAGTTTCTGATTCCAGATTTCTGCCTTGAATTCCTTCCTGACTTCAATCAGAGATGGGAGTGTGAGCCGAGAGCTGTAAGATAAAAACTTTTCTCCTCAAGCTGTTTTTGACCACATTGTTTTATCAGAGCAATGGAAAACAACTCAGACAGGGTACAAGAAGACTGCCTTCACAAAAGGGTATGTGGACAGAAGCACTCCCAAAGATCACATATGAAGAAGCTCAGGTGCAACACCAAACCAGCAGAGCGTCAGCAAATGTGCGGGTGTAAATCCATGTATGTATATAGGACTGGGGGTGGCTCTCTATCCCTACCCCTCAAATACTGAATTTCCCTACAGAAAACAAACTCTGTTCATTTTGAACCTAAACTTTTAGAACACAAGAATGAGCTAGGAAGAGGGAAAAAAAGGAAAGGCATGATAAGGCTCAGAGTGATTGAAATAAAGGAGTGAAATTAGATAAGGTTAAAGTAGGCCAAACCCAATAATCTGTGGTATATTAAATATGCAACAAAAAAGAGACTAAAAACTGGAGAGACTCTGTCATTCTCTTGCTCTCCTGACAAATGTGCCTTACCTGGCAATGTTAACCACATTGTCAGCCTTCTTAGTTCTGGGATTAATTCCCTGCAAGAGCTGTTCCAAAGGAGAGACGATGAGAGCCAGCTGACTCTCTCTCAGAAGGTCCATGAAAAGGTTCTCCTTTTGCAGAGTGAGATTGAGAAGTGCTAAGCAATGCTGAACTGCTTTTTCCAGGTGTTTCTTCCCTGTAATCCCAAAGGAAGTTAGAATCTAAATCAATCTTGGAAATGAGAAAACAAACTTAAAAGGCAGGTTTTAGCTTCAAAAAGTTCTTGTTTTTTTACAAACGTTTAACAGCACCCACCCAGTTATTTCTGTGCCCAGGCTACTCATATATTAGCTTCTCTTTTCTCTTTTCCATGATCCTCTAGAGCAGCGGTTCTCAACTTTCCTAATGCTGCAGCCTTTTAATACTGCTGCAGCCTCATGCTGTAGTGACCCCCAACCATAAAATTATTTTCATTGTTACTTCAAAACTGTAATTTTGCTGTTATGAATCATATTATAAATATCTGATATGCAGGATATCTAATATTTGATCCAAAGGGAGTCATGACCCACAGGTTGAGAACCACTGCTTTAGACAATGGCTCTCTGAATGGATAATGTGTGCCCAGTGACCATTTGACAACACCTATAAACACTCATACTGTTCTCACTAGGAAGGTGTAACTGGAACCCAGTAGACAGAAGCATATAGCACACAGTACAGCACCACAGCAGAGCGATCAAAACTGTCAATAGTGCTGAGTGAGGAAGAGACCGGCTTCAAGCAAGACACAACACAGGATTCAGATTCAGAGTTAAGCATGTTAAAGATGTGAAAGCAAAAGAAACATCTGAATTATCTGCAGAAGACCCTGCAATGAGATAGTAACAATGAACCAGTCTCAGTAATTCAGTCTGTTTTCACTCATAATGATTCACTGGAAATACCACTGTTGTTGAAGAGACTCTTACACTACAAAAGCCAAACTTCACCAGTTCTGAAGTCACACAGACTTTCGGGCACATACCAGGGAAAGGCGCGTAGGTATCTAGCTGCTTAACTCCTTCTTCCAGTAAACTGAGAGCAAGTTCCAACATCGGTGACTCATTCAGAAGATGATACATCAGACTGAAGCCAGGTGGCTTATAGGCTATGATTTCTTCTCCTAAATAGGACACAGTGCAACAGATGATGAGCCAGCATCGGCTTAAAACTATTTAATATCATGTGTGAGTGTGTGCGTGCGCGTGCATGTGTCTCTATGCACACGTGCGTCCAAGTGCATGTTCAGAACATAACTTGCTGGAATCAGTTCTCTTCTACTGTAAATTCCAGGGATTTAACGGAGACCACACAAGTGCTGTTACCTATGAAGAAACAGTGAGTGTCCATCTCACTGGCCCCTCAGTCACAACTTCTGTTAGACTCTCTGTTTCTGTGAAATGTATTATCACTGTAACTTAAACAGGATGAACTCAGGTGAAGGCAAGCCTAAAGCTGTGACAGTGACACAAGCCGTTGAGGGCATCAGTCCCACAGAGAAATGGCACCTGTGCATGGGGACCAGGGCCCACCATCAAAACAAGTGAACTCATGGAAGGAACTATGACCTGAGTACTGAGTAAAATCCTATTTTCTTTTTCACAGAACATGATTAAAACAGTAAAGCAAAGATTAAATTCTAATTTTAACCATAAATTTTAACTAACATTTATATAGTCAGTAAATCAAACTCTGACACTTACCTTGTAGCTCCACAAACTGATCTACAAAATCTTCAAGCTGAGGCTCATAATCTCTCAGTAGCTTATAAAATACTTCCAAGACAACCTCAGCAACTTCCCACTAGAGAGAAAAAAAAAAATTCAGCAACAATGAACGGTCCAAGGTGGGAATTGTCTAGTTTCTATTCCCTCCACTCTACTCTCCAGAAAAGAGACAAAGTCACTAGTCTACTTTATGAATTTATGCAAACATTCTTAATTCACATTGTCATCTGTCAAAGGATAACAGGTTGGCTTGTTTACAGATAGAACATGTTTTAGATGTTATTTAAGAAGTGTCTCTTCAGTCAAAGTTTGAGCTCTTTTACAAGTTTAAGGTACTGAGCATCTGAACATGTTCACTTTATAATTATACAATATCAGATTTCTATAAAGTTCAAATAGTTTGCATTTTCTCTGGGAAGCTTCATATGAAGCTCAGCACAGTGACCTAAACTCTCAGCCACATGGCTCAGACCAGGGTTCTCTGCCCAACAACCAGCCAAAATGCCCCAAATGCCCCCATAACCATCTGACTGTTAAAGATGGACTTAAAATAGTTTATATGGAAGGACACGTAAGTACAGCTATATACTCAGTGAAATTTAAACTTTTGCAATGGATTTTAACCATTGCAGAGAGTATGTTATTACCTATTTCCTTTTGTGATGGTGGAGACTGAGCCCGACTGCACATGCAAGCCACTGCTCTCCCTTACAGCACAGCTGCAACCCTTACACAGAGGTCTGGTTACGCTGCTTTTTTAAATGATTGTTTTGAAGTCATTAAACTATTCAATTTTATCAGGGCTGAGTTTTAGAACTCTGGCCTTTTGGATTTTCAAAAAAAGACATTATCACCTCACAGATTTGAAGACTGTTAAATCTACTACCTCTAAATGCTATAGTATTAATCTCAATCTAAAGTACTGTAGTCTTGAGAATTCACTGTCTTAAGATGTAGTTACCTAAATTAAACTAAAGAAAGTTTCAAGTAAATAACATTATAAAAATTGACAAAAATTTTTCAGGGAAAAAAAACAGGAAGCAGCAAGGAAAGCACCAATGTCTGCAGGGGAACTCAGATGGGAAAAAAATTATCTGGAGAGCACGTGGGTGACTAGAGCTGCAAACACTGTGGTCACAATGACCTTGTCTAGACGTCTAAAACACACTTGTTTAAACATGAATCAGAAGATCTGTGAAGACTGTGATGAGCGCACATGCACTGCTCATCTCCAATGACATTTAATACAGCAAGGTTGCTATTAATATTTCAGAAGATCAGGACATTTATGTTAAAAGGGGATTCTAGAGACTAAATAAAATGTATCCCCTTGTATTTATCATCACTAAAAATAAATTATAAAGCAAAGAGAACTTCAGTTTCTGTGACTAAATATTAGATCATCACATGCCCCCTGGTGATGAATATACAAATAATCAGACTATGCAGGTATAGATTTAAGGAATGTATACTATGCAGCCATCTAAAGGCCATTTTTTAAGTGAACCTTTCTAATTACTTGAAATCTCCATGATACTATACGACAAACAATAGAAAGTAATAAGGTATTTTTTTCTAGTGATATTTAAATGGGTGTACAAGAAAAAAAAGACAAGAAATAATTATTTTTCTCTTAGTAACAGGGCTGGGGGTGATAAAATTTCTTAAGTTCTGAATTGTCCAATATTAGAATGAATGGAGTTCTTTCTATAATTATTAATATAACAAAACATTCCACAGGCTAAGCAAACAACAAATGAAGCAGAGACATCCCTATAAACTATACCCAAGGGCATTCTGTGAGACAAACAGTATTATACACTAAAGGTAAACTACATAAGAACCTGGGAGGGTCTCTTACATAGCTTAGTGGTTACGAGCTTAGATCTGAGAACAGAGTCCTATATTCAAACCCTGGTCCTGGACCTTGGGCAAGTTCTGTAACTTTGCTAAGCCTCCCTCTGTAAAATTGGAACATTAATAGTACTTGCCTCAAGGTAATACTAGAATTACATAAACCAATATATACGATAAGCTCGGTGGGGTCTAACAGTAGAGCCAAGATGAGCAGAAACATCATTGCCCTCAGCAGTCAGCCACGGTAGCTAAGTGACCAGTTCACACCAAGCTTCCCTCTGGGTGAGAACTAGCAAGTCAGCTTGAATTGATACAAATCCTAATCTAAAACATCCCATTTGTTTCCAACAAGGGTGAAAATAGATTTTAATTCAATTTTAGTTAAAAAATTTGCTCAATGAGACATGATGAGATTTTTATCTCAAAAAAGTACTCAGTTAAGGACTGTGAACTCCTGTCAGAAAACTCATTGATCATTAAAGTGTGTTGATTTTAATTCCCAAACTTATTTGTAAGACACATGAATAATCCAAGGTATTACAGAATTAGGACTATAAATGTCACTAACTTCCAAGAGCCGAACTGAATTTGTATTCCCTTACACCTTGGTTGAAGGAAGTGACAATGAGTTCAAAGGAGAGAAAGGGTTTGCTCTAAACATAACCTTTTCAGCTGCTCTCCGGTAAGCTCGCGTACGGAATCTGAGAAACACAGAATCTCTGAGGAACTGCAAATAAGGGTCAAAGCCAGGGGGGCGCAGGCCAGCACCCAGATTGGAAGGGAATGAGCTCTCCACCAGGGTACTGATCAACTGGCAAAAGGCCCGAGTCAAGGGGTATTCTTCACAACGTGACTCTATTTCATTGAGTTCAACCTTTAAAGAAAAGAATAAAAAAATTAGCAATACAAATATGAAATACAAAGCATTTTGCTAACACTAACTCATTAATAATGATATATCATCACACAAAAAATTAACAAAGTACTTCCTACTTAGCAGAAAAGACAAAGTGTATCAATCACATATTATCTCAGCCTTGAAATAAAGTTTACACGCTTCTTTTCAAAATAAGGAGACAGCACACCAACTGGTTATACATATGAGTGACATTATACAGACTGAGCACATTAGATTTAGGAATATACATGTATATACATAAACCTTCTGACCTCCACACACATACCAAGGGACATGTGTACCTAGGCATATACATTACCATACAGTAAATAAATAATGATAAAAAGAGTTCTGTCTCTATTTCAGCACTCTAAAAGTAAATATATTCAATTTAAAAATTACAGAAATTTAATAGTCTACAAATAACCTCTCCCAATCTTATTTTGGCACTAATGTAAGAATTAATGAATACAGTGTTGAAACTAAAAAAGAAAACCTTACCTCAATACCAATAGCTTGCCTCTGGCTTGGAACCCTGACGGTCTGCAGTATCTGAAAGGAAAAAGAAACACATGTCAGGACCATCCTTGTTCATCAATAAGCAGTAATGGCACTGCACAGCTACACATCTCCCCCACCATTCCCATAGGCATCACTCTATCTACAGGCGTGATCACCGAGGAGTCCCTGACCAACTAACTCTTGCAGACAGAATTATAACAAACGGAAAACTGTAAAGATCTAAGAGCACACAATTCACTTTTCTCAGCAAATTCCTCTCAGATATTCTGGAATTTGCTCTTGAAAAGAACTCAGAGAACCATACCCATGTTTAAGACACTCTGCTCACAACCAGTCATACATAACCAAGAAATAGGTTATGTATGAGAAGAGGCAAGTTTGTGATCAGTTCTTCCTGACCATACTACAGGCCTTCAGTGTTCTAGAGTAGAAAAACCACACTTATTCATGATACTTCACTTGTCTGACAGTTAAGGGGCTACTACTATGTAGATTACAAACAACAACGAACAAAAAGTAGCTGACTTGTAGAAAAGAAATCACTCACTGAGATGTCAAATATCATGCAACCCTAATCCTACCCGTCTGTGATGGTGTAATGGGTGGAAGTCAGAGGAGCTCCTGCTATCATACTGCCGCTGCTGCCCAATATGAGCCTTTATGTCCACCAGGGAAAAATCATCCAGCTGCTGTGAAAATTTCTATAAAACTTATCAAACAGCTGGATGGCCCTTTAATGGCTAAAGCCAAAACACAGAAAGCTACTTAAATACCCCACTTTGGGCAGGAAAGGCACAGAGGAAAAGGAAGAGTATAGAAACCATGAATATCTATTTCCTGCATTAATGGGTAGAGATATGTCAGAAGGCTGGTCTAAAGACAACCATGGCCAGCTGCATAATAATGGGCCATGTAAAGATGGAAAATACAGCCAAACAGTGGTGGTGCATGCCTTTAGTCCCAGCACTAGAGAGGCAGAAGCAGGCAGGTCTCTGTGAGTTCGAGGCCAGCCTGGTCTACAAGAGCTGGTTCCAGGACAGGCTCCAAAAGCTACAGAGAAACCCTGTATCGAAGATAAGATGGAAAATACAGAAAGAGTCTGGACTATACATACTATTATTGTGTTTTCTTTAAATTTTTTGACTGTACATGAGCTAACGACAGTAAAACACTTTATTATGAAGGCTGTTAAGTTAAACCAACATTAATATGATTAAGTTTTCTTGAATTAGAAATTTGAGTCTAAGGATATATTGCTTTGGAAAAGAGGTTCTGCTTTTGTTTCCACAGAATATGAGAATCTATGGATTGCTTCCATATTAATATGATTTGATCACACAATACCCCTTGAAACAAGGCCCATTTAATACAGCATCCACGACAGCTCCAGGACTGCTAACTGAGATGAGTCAACACACAGGATACCCCAGTCAAGATTTAACCATATTTCTACATTTTCTCAAGATCCCCATAAGATTAACAATGCCCCTTATCAGCAGGAAGCAATATAGAAAACTACAACCAAATATCCCAAAATATTGTTTATAAATGTTTGTTTTCATTTAAAGGGTTTGGGTTGTAAATGATTAGTAATCATAGTCAATCTCTTTCGAAAGAAAAAAAAGGGATACAATATAGAAATGATGAGAAAAAGGTAGATCATTGAATCTATGTTAATTCAAAAAAAATTTTAATCTCAAAATACTTTATACTGGTATGGATTTTGGTTTATTGATACAAACTTAAGGCCAATTTTGTTATACTGTATGTATATTTTCTACTCTTGTTTAAGGTATTATGTTTATGTAGCTTATTTAAAAACATAATGTATAGTTAAGAGACACAATTTAATAGTCATCTATAATAGTCAAACTTATAGCAATGCTAGATTTTTAAGGTACTACAGAGATTATTTCAGATAGAAAATCTTCAAACACTTCAAAAACCTACAGAATATGGCATTTAAAATGTTTTAAGAACTTAGACTTTTCTCAAGAGTGAGCCACGTCTGTTTCTGGCACACGAATTACTTCAAGACGAAGATGAGCATCGAAGAAGCTCTTTATGGAGTTTGCTTTCAATGTGGCAAGGCTAGCCATTTGGGTAAGAAACTGCTCTTGCCTGGACTTCTTGACTGTATGCTGTATGAACTGGACATGCAGGACCCACAGGAAAATGATCACTAAACTTTGCCAAAACAAGGCAGGATGGTCCTTCAGAGTTCCTGCTTCACAGAAGAAACTGCCAGACATTCTGCAGGACACAGAAGAAAATGACTGACAATCTGCAAATATAGACAGGACAGTCTTTCAAATTTCCTGCTTCACTGAAAAGTCAGCCAGACACTATGGAAAATGGATGTCCCAACATTATGAGAGAACTCTGGGTGACTGTCCAGGCAGTCAGATATCACTGTCATTTCTAGAGTTTTGGAAGTTGCTTACAATGCACTTCCCAGATACTTGGCAATATTATATCCTCCTGGGGTCGTTGATGGAGTTGAAGACTAAATAGTTATAATTAATATAGTTTATATATAATTATATAGTTTTCCTTCATTATGATAAACAATAAATTAAATATAAAACTTTAGACTCACAAAGATAGGATAGATAAAAGAATTTTTCCCCCTATGACAGGGTTTCTCTGTGTAGCACTGGTTGTCCTGGAACTAGCTCTAGTAAACCAGGATGGCCTTGAACTCAGAGATCTGCCTGCCTCTGCCTTCCAAGTGCTGGCCATGCGCCACCATCACCTGGCTTAGAATATTTTCTTTAATCTTGCCAAATACAAATAGACTAAATACCATAACTTTATATATATTACATTCTTACTTGATAATTGTTTTATATAATTTTACGTTAAAGTTAATTAAACAGAAAAGGGTAAATGATGTATGCTGTGAATACATTTTATTACCAATGGTTAATAAAGAAGCTTATTTGGCCAACAGGCAGGCAGAACAGAGCCAGATGGGAAATCCAAGCAAAAATAAAGGGAAAAGGAAACACCATTCTCAGGGGAAGCAAGATGCGAGGTAACAAACCATAAGCCTCTTGGTAAATAATAGATAGGAGTTATTTTAGGTTGTAATAAGCCTGATGCCAAGCAGTGGTGACATACACCTTTATTCCCAGCACTCAGGAAACAAAGGCAGGCATTTCTGTAAATTCAAGGACAGTCTGGTCTACAGCCCAGTCTAAAGAATGAGTTCTAGAACAGGCTCCAACGCTACAAAGAAACCCTGTCTCAGAAAAAGTAATAATAATAATAATAAGTCTGAGCTAATAGGCCAAACAGCTTGTAATTAATATTAAGCCTCTAAGTAGTTATCTGGGAACTGGTAGGCAGTGAGATACAGTTACAGCAGTATCTCACTGACCTTGGGAAGTAAGACTTTTAAAGTTACTGAAAGAACCTACTTTCAGAAACTTAGTAAGGTTGTGAACCGTAAGAAAATAACCCAGACTATATGTTTTTAATGCTATGCTGGGCTCCCAAGCCCTAACTTCCTACATGGGAATGCCCTGGAACACTGCTCCAACCAGATGCTCTTGCTTCTACAGTATACTCATTCTCCAAATCATACAAATAAGAGAGTTCATGGCACTACCTGAGTGTATTCCAACGACTGCCAAAGTGAAGCAGCAATTTCAGGAGACTTTCCAAAGGCTGCAAGTGTCTTCAGTAGCTCAGCTTTGAGAACTGGGGGAATACTGCACTGCAGGAGCCCCAGAATCACCACGACAGGCGTCCACTGCGGATGCTCACAAAGCGCCAAGCGAGCATTTTCACTCTGAGATTTGAACACAAAACAAGAAAGCTATTTAACTTGTTTATCTAGGGTTTTCTGTTTGGTTTTATGAGATGTTTCTCACTATGCTGCCTATCCACCTCCACTAACTCAAGCCATCCTCCTGACTTGGCCTCTTGAACAGATGTCAATAGAGGAACCTACTACCAACTCTGGTACATTTAATACATACTAAAACAAAGAGAGTCCATCATTTAGCTTGAAGCCTATTGGTAGATTAAATTGGATTCCTCATGGAAGGAATGGAAGATAAATTTCAAAAAGTTTCGTTGGCAGACCGAGGAGCAGAAAATACTACTATAAACAGATAAATAGTCTGTCTACTAGGGTGACATAAATCTTAGGCACTTTTAAGCTCTTTCTACATACAGTATTATGACACTAAAATATATCTGATTCTGATGCATGAGTCAATAAATACTTTTCCTGAGAAAAAGAATGAAAAATATTTTATAAATGATAACTATGCTTTATTTCAATAAGACATTATAATATATTTGACATTTAATGCACAATAACACCAAATATGATTAGAAAATCAAAACCTAAGAAATACATTTCTATATTCCAGACAAAATGTCAACCTGAGCAGTTTGTTTTGCTCTGGTAATCAACACGTATTTCTAAGTTGTGAAAATGATTAGATAACTGTTACTTTCTTTTAATGAAAACTATTCTTGTTGAACAAATATATCAATACACGTGTCTATCTCAGAACCTCTACTAGAATTACTTTCTAGAACCCTGGTTCTCAACTGTCCTAATGCTGTGACCGATCCTTTAATACAGCTCCTCACATTGTGGTGACCCCCAACTATAAAATTATTTTCATTGTTACTTCCTAACTGTAATTTTGCTATTAAGTGGAAATATACTTGTGTTTTCCAATAGTCTTAGGAGACCCCTGTGAAACGGTCGTTCAACTCCCCCAAAGGGATTGCAACCCGGTTTCAGAACCACTGTTCTAGAAGGATGCACACACAACTGACTACTTTCCTCTCTTGGCTACTTTCTTATGTGTTCAGGCTATAATTTTCAAATTAAGACTGTGCTAGTACACAGAACTAGCAAAAATTATGTCCTCTGAAGTCTAGAAAACAAGAGCATAAGGATGAATGCTACGTATGTGCTAAATACATCAAAACATTAACCACTAAAAGAAAATGCTTGGCCACTTAAGATGTCACCAGGCTACAGCATAAAACAAATCATTCTAAGGATGGACTACCTACCCAAGTAATGATAGTAGATGTTAGCTGCAGAAAAGCAATCAGTCCATCCTGCTCCTTCTGGGTGATACCACGTGAAGGAAGGTGACGGTACTGGACACTATCTGCACTTGGCAGGTCCTTTCGGAGATGTTCATGATAAAGCAGTAAGGAGTGAAAGAAATGCTCCCAGGATACAGGACTGCCGCCTGCTCCCTGAATGTTTTCAACTGAAAAGAAAAGCAACAGAATTTTCCTTTAAAAATCGCCTACTTGGGGCTCAAAGGTAGAAGTCTGCCTGCCGCATGAGAGGCAACAGGGCGAACGAAAGGCCCAAGAATAACTTAATTTATGATGACATTGGTCTGCCTCTGTCCTAAATCGTCAGTGTTGCTCTGCCCAGGTAAGTAGTATGCTGAAAGGGGTCCGAATTCTTTTTGGTTCTTTCTTGACTAGACCTAAGGATGGGGTAAAGCCCAAGAAAGTGACTTTGCATGCCATTTACCTGCTTCCTACCCAGAAGTTCTCGATGCTGGAAATGTAAGAAAACTGCTACTTTTTCGGACCAAATAATTCACAAGGGACGAGCTTGAGTGCTCATAAAAAGACAGCTGTAGCACAGATCTATAAATTATACTATTCCACTACATACCAAGCACTGTGGGACAGAGAACCACAAATAAGACAAGCAAGCCCTGACAGAGTAGCCAATATGCTGGCTTGGGAGACAGGCATGTCTTTTTTAATCGTGGCTCCCTCAACTTGTCACCAGGGCTATTTTAAAGCTTAACTTCTCCAAACTTATCTTCTCCACAAACACAGCAGATATTTAGTTTCTTTTCCCTTTTAGCAGTATATCTGGCTTAATTTAGGTCTAAAATTAAATTAAGTCTGAAATATATCTGGCTTAATTTAAGTCATTCTAAAAATCAGTAATAAGAAAATAAGTATTGATGAGGGCAAATTACAAAAATCAAATTTAGCTATATATGATGACTTATACCTGTAACTCTAGTAGTCTGAAGGCTGAGGAAGGAGGATGGTGACAGGTCTGGGGCCATCCTGGGCTTTCAACCGAGTTCTAAGACAGCTTAGGCTATGGAGTGAGACCCCCATCTTAAAACAAAGTAAAGCCAAACAAAAACCTCCACTGCAAGGAAATATACTTGGTCTTATATATCAGATGTGTTCTCAGAGAACAACATATATGGCTTCAGACTTGTTACACTTAACTGTATTTAACAAGATAAATGGCAAAATCCCCCAATCTGAGACCATAATCAAAGTATTACCATGCATAAAAATGACCAGTGTAACTCTTTCCCTCAGTATTATAAATGCAATTTATACCTATGGTAGAATCTACACATCAGTACAAGAACATAAGAGTGTAAAAACAAATCCGGCATGCAGACTGCCCTTACCGTGACTGCTACCATTGACTTTGAGCAGGCTAAAACAGTAGTGGGCACACTGAGGTCCATTGGCCAAGCCCTGGAGCATTTTTAAATAAGGAATATAAATAGTTGGCGGCAACAGGTCACCCATTTGTCTCACAAACTTTGACAAGACAACCTGAAATTAAGAAAAAAAAGCTTATAGAAAATGTACCTTAACTTTAAGGTAACATGGACAGCTAATAAAAACCACATAAAAACTAAAACAAATTCAGGGCTATGATTTAATTCATTGCCACAAAAAAACAAAAGTAACTGCTATTTTATTTATGAAAAACTTAAATATAATATATTTCTTAAATAAAAGAAGAAAAGTGATGACTTCTAAATAACTTATTACCTGTTCAAATCTCTTCAACGGCCAATCAGAGAGTGAAAATAAAAAGCTCTAAAACTCACCTGGCGCTGAGGGGGTCGCTGATGAGCCACTCCCAGGTAGGAGCCCATGATCGTTGGAGTCTGCAGGGGCTCTGAGGGACACCAGTATTCCAGAGCAAGCTCCAAATGGAAAGGGTTCTTTTTGTATAGTTCACCAATCTGCAAAGAATAAGCAAAAACTATAGAGAAACGTTTACAACAAAAAAAATTACAGAAATAAAAAAGCACCTTAGTATTAAATTCTTCTGCAAAAATTTTCCAAGGTCCAAGAAAAATAATGGAACAGAAAAGAGATTTTAAAAGAAAAAATTCTCTCTCCAGCAGAATGACTTACCAGGAGCATTAAGTGTTCCAGGTCCCTCCTCAGTGAGATAGGGGGCTCGTTTCCCATCTGGATGCTCATGTGAATCATTCGAGCATCTTCATCCGCCCGATTCTTCAGCTGCTTCACCTTTGTATGTATTAGACAAGGCTTAATGCAAATATCTTATGCATTGGTTAATAACAAAATCAAGAAACAAGGTAACTAAGAGTAACAATATATAAGAAACATCACTTAAACACCTGTATATTTTAGCAATATAAAAAATGCAATAGGAATTTCACTAAAATACTTAAGATTATAATATCTTAAGTATCACAGGGAACCAAAGAGATGGTTCAATAGATAAAGACGCCTGTGCCAAGTCTGCCCACCACAAGATGGTGGAAAGAACCAACTCCTACAGGCTGTCCTGATTTCCACTCCTCCCTAACCTGTCTATAACATGCTCATGTCCACATACACACACACAATAAATAAATAACAAAATGTAAAAAAAAAGTTACTACAGAATTTTCCACTTCACAGAAATTGAGATTAATGTCTCTCAAGAGAGACATCACTATCATTTGGCGTGGATCATCTCCAGTGAAGTATTATCCTAAATACTGAATGAAACTTCACATCCCTAGAACTACTAAGAACATGTTACCATGATGTAACAAGCAAAACTTATAACCCAGCATGCTGTGAACACTACACTCTGGCTGAAAATTTAAACTAATGCTAATGAAACAAGAAATTACTTTGTTCTGGGGGACTAAATAAATAAATAAATAAATAAATAAATAATTTATAGCTGCAAGTTCCACTATTCCTTTCTCAAGATTCAATAGAAAATAGGCAAAGCATGGAAAGACTTGAATAACAATTCCAGCTAATTACTGATAAACAATCCATAGAGTAGGTCTCTTCCATTTTTTCACAGACCATATTACTAAGAAAGGCCACAAAAGCAAACCTCAACATTAAAGCAATCCAGTGAAGTATATTCTCTGACTCTGAGGATCTGACTAGAAACTAGTAAAAGAGAAATGACTGGAAGTCTCTTAAGTATTTAAAAATTAAATCTCAATCTCTCTTCCTCTCTCTCTTCCCCTCCCCTCCTCTCCCTTCTCTCTCTGTCTCTGTCTCTNCCCCCCCCCCCCCCAGTGACCAAAAGTCAACTCAGGGAAATTAAACGGGGCCAGGCAGTAGTGGCGCACACCTTTAATCCCAGCACTTAGGAAAAAGGCAGAGGTAGGTGGATCTCTGTGAGTTAGAGGTCAGCCTGGTCTACAAGAGCTAGTTCCAGGACAGGCTCCAAAGCTACAAAGAACCCCTGTCTCAAAAAAGCAAAAAACAAAAACAAACAACAAACAGGAAAAAAAAAATCTTAAATCATCTTATATATATTAAAGTAAATTACAGTATTCAAGAACTGGGTGATTAGCCGGGCAGTGGTGGAGCACGCCTTTAATCCCAGCATTTGGGAGGAAGAGGCAGGCGGATGTCTGTGAGTTCGAGACCAGCCTGATCTACAAGAGCTAGTTTCAGGACAGGCTCCAAAACCACAGAGAAAACCTGTCTCGGAAAAAAAAAAAAAAAAAACTGGGTGATTAAATTGTTTCCCTTGCCCAAGACATTTCTGACTCTTATACCACAATTCCCTCAACTTTCACCTTCTCAGACAATCATCTCTCCACAATCAAATACTCAAGTAGATATTAATTAGAAGAAATTTTAACCTTAACCTTTCTAAGTGTTCCTTTCCCCAGATAGGAAATAAAAGCATGAGCAGGCTTCTTCCCACTTCAACTCTGTTTGCTCACCTTCATCTTTAGAGTTGCTGGAGTCTCGACTTACCTGTTCATCCTGACCATTCTAGCTCTTCACTGAGCTAACCTTAGCCTACAGAAACCTACTGTCATTTACTGCCTGATCTGCGAGGAGGTGCAATGCAGTCTACACATTTCTTCATATACAATTTGTCTATGAGGATGAGAGTGCCTCCTCTCTCTGCTTTGTTTGCTTTGGCTGCTTAGTGTTTCTTTTCTTTGTCCTTTTCTCTTTTGAGAAGAGGGGTTTAGAGCGCTCCATGTACACGATCTAGCCCTATCTGTTTGCTTCACACCTAGCACAGTACCCAGACCACAGGAGAAACACAATGAACAGGTGCTGAGATGACAGGTCCGTGCCACCCCATCTGGCTACATTCATTTCCTCATATGTACATCCTTACGTGTACACTGAGGTTCATCTGCATACCACAAATTAAAAGTCTAAACAATTATCTATAAAAGGAGATTTTCCACTATGCCTCTTCCAAATCAGGTATAAAAATACTGTAGTCCCTTGAAATTCATGAAGAATTTCAACACCACCTGAGGATACCAAGAATCTACAGATACTCAAGTCCCTTATACAAAATAACAAAGTAGTTGAATACATCATACATACATTTTCCCATATACTCTTTAAGCCATCTCAAGATGGCTTAAAATACCTAACATAAATAATACAAACAGTTGCTATTCTATATTGTTTAGGAAATAATGGGGGGGAAAAGTCTATATAGTTTCAGCACAGACATTTTTTTAAAAATATTTATTTATTTATTTATTATGTATACAATTTTTTTTTATGTCTGTGTGTATGTCTGCAGGCCAGAAGAGGGCACCAGACCCCATTACAGATGGTTGTGAGCCACCATGTGGTTGCTGGGAATTGAACTCAGGACCTTTGGAAGAGCAGGCAATGCTCTTAACCTCTGAGCCATCTTTCCAGCCCCCAGCACAGACATTTTTGTTTTGTTCTCTGTGTAACAGCCCTGGTTGCCTTGGAACTCTTTGTAGACCACCTAGAACTCATGGAAATCCACCTGTCTCTGCCTCTAGAGTGCTGGGGACCAAAGGTATGAGCCACCATGCCCAGCTTAGACACAATCCTTCTGAGCCTGAAAATTTCAAGTCAAAGCTGGCTGATTCTGAAGACACAGAACACATGGAAAACCAAGACTATTAGCAAGGCACCTCAGCACTAGGGTACCTGCTGCCCAGGGTACTAGAAATTAACAGTAATCACCTGCCCACAGAGGGATTTTCAACCTACTACTTCTGTGTTCTCAGTGTCCAACGCTCCTTCTGAAAGGGTTATATCGTTTCACTTTACCGTCCAAACTGCACTTGTAATACATCACTGCCGGATCTTAGTCTGCACTGACTTTATTAGTTGAAGTTAGTCAAAATAGTTTTAAACTGTTTTTCTTTATATATATATCTTTGTGGTTTTTTCTCTTTTTTTAAAGATTATTTATTTATTGTGTATACAGTATTCTGCCTGCCTGCAGATCAGAAGAGGGCATCAGATCTCATTATAGATGGTTGTAATCCACCATGTGGTTGCTGGGAATTGAACTCAGGACCTTTAGAAGAGCAGGCAGTGCTCTTAACCACTGATCCATCTCTCCAGCCCTAAACTGTCTTAAAAAGCTCATTTTATACTGTTATACTTACTTTCATTGGCATAAATGCAAGGAAGTCTGTAATGAGATTATGGGTTCTGCGAATGTAAAATTCTTCCTGATAGAAGTTTTCGGATAGCACCACAGACTCGGTGAGGAATAAGAAGACGCTATCGGCAATGGCAAGTTCAGCAATTGCTTCATCAGCTTCCGTGAACTCAGCCAGGGCTAGAAAGATTTAGAATATAAAAAGCAAACTGAGAAAAAGTCTTTAACTCAAGTTCTATCCCATGGCATTTTTCCAGCCTCCTAACCGGTACTATGCACAAAATGAGAATACACAGAGTTGTCATGAACTCACAAACTCCAAATATACTGAAAGAGTACTCTGAAACACATGAAGCTGGGTGCGGTGGTTCACAATTTTAGTCCCAGCACTCAATAGGCAGAGGTTGGTGGATCTCTATGAGCTTCAGGCTAGCCTGGTCTACACAGCAAGCTGCAGGCCAGTCAAAACTACATAGTGAGAGAACTTGCCCCAAAATAAACAAACAAATAAATGAATGAATAAAGGGGAGCGAACATGTTCTTCTTATGAGTGACCTCTGACCTGTTAGTTAGGAGATGAATAATGTTAACACTGTTGTAGTCAGAGAGCTCTTATGCAAGCATTAGCATCCTAAAACAATACAAGAGCTTTTAATTCTACTGAAATCTTCAGGGTCATACAGGAACAAAGGAAAAGTCATGAGTGAGGAACAAAACCTAGACATGACTGATTTCTTTACTCATCTGGCAATCTACAAATAAAAGCTTAAATCGTAATTCAAAGACGTATGGTAGTCTACTTGGGATGTTTTTAAACATCTGGATATTTCCAAGCTGCCCATAAACAGACAGACAAGAATGAGCCTTACCACGCATGGTCGTCATGTCATTTCTAGACTGACACTTCATTTCAACTATACTGGTCAATTTTCCACACATACTAAATTACAGAAATCCCAATTTAACACTTTACCTTTAAGTGTTTAATATGCAACTCAAAAGATACTAAAAAAAATAAAATAAAATATTATATATAAAAAATACCATTATCATATCTTTCAAGGTATGATTTCAGTTTCAAATATACAATGGTCAAACACAGCTGTGTCATCCAGACTGTGAAATGTCTTGATTTGGTTTGGAGTTTTATTGTTTTGTTTGGGCTCTGTAATTTTTTGCAGACTGTTTGAACTGGGAACTAGATACAGTCTACAAACTGCAGTTAACTAATACACTACCCCTATGTCCCTTTTATTTTTGTTTCAGCCTTTACATGCTGCAGTTTTCCATAATGTGACATGCATGGTGTTGCTTCCAGTGGTACATGTCATCTTGCCCACTCTGAAAATGCTACAACTTGGTAGAGTTTCATTTAGAGATGTTGACAAGATGTCAAATTATCATGTGGGCTGAAGAGATGGCTATGAGGTTAAGGGCACCGGCTGATCTTCCAAAAGACTGGGGTTCAACTGGCAGCACCACATGACAGCTCACAACTGCCTGTAACTCCAGTTCCAGGGGACCCGACACCCTCACACAGACAAAAACACAGACAAAACACTAATATTCTGTAGACAGAAGTTTCTATAAGGTTAATATATATTAAACATTTGTCATATTAGTAATAATATAGAGTACTAACTCTAGAAAAAGGTTTCATCTACCTTCCTGTACATGATTTTGGGTTTGAGCCTCTATCAGTTTTGTGCAGTGAACCATGAGCATGCCTAATGAAGTCTCCAAAAGGAGGCTGGGACCCCACAATGACAATTCCTCTAGGACTATGATATCACCACTAAGCTGAAAAACACCACCTAAAGATCAGCTTTGGACTATAAACTGCTCAGAACAATTTCAAGGTGGCTATCTGACATGATCTAGCCTCACAGACTACTCTAACCAGGACTTGAGACAAGCCCTGCACTTTCCCATTACACAGAGACTGGACAACAAACGATACAGATACCTCTCCCAGGACTTGACAATTAACCCTAAAATTTTCTCTTCCAGATCCCCTAAAGATACCATTGCCCCCAGATAGCAGGAAGTAAACTTGAAAATACAATGTCTACATTCCTGAGGGATAGGGTGTGTAGGTTCTGGTCATTCAATGGGTTATAGATATTTGTCATTTATAGGGAGGTTGGTTACAAATTGTTATTGGTAATGGTTAGAAAAAAAGCCAAACAAAGGAAAATTAGATTCAAGATTCTTGTTTTGAAAAAAGGGAGGATATAGACATAAGATAAAAAGGTATACTATTGAATCTACTTTTAAAAAGCAACTAATTTTAAATGTTTTACACTGCATTAGATTTTTGTATATTGTATACAAATTTTGTATATTGATACAAATTTGAGATTAATTTTGTTAGAATATACTGTACATACATTTCTACTCTTGTTCAAGGTATTGTACCTATACAACTCATTTAACAAGGTAATGCCAATTTCTAGTCCTTGAAAATTATTACCAACTGTTTAGGATAATAAGAAAATGCAGGCTAATAGCTAATCTCCTATTATAATCAAACTTGTAGTCACACAGGGTATGTTTTCAAGGTCAAACAAAGATATATTTTAGATAGGTCACCTTCAAACACTTCAGAGATCTACAGAATGTAGCATTTAAGATGTATTAATAACATAGGTTCTTTTCTCGTTTTTATGACAATGAGATATGTCTGCTTCTGGCAGTACCAATCTACTTCAGAGATGATGACAGGCATCAAAGGAACTCCACATGGAGCTTGCTTTCTTTGTAGCAAAAAATAAGCCACTGAGAAAGACAGTGCCCTTTGTTCAACCACTGTCCTAATTGGACAAGCAGGACACAAAAGAGAGTGACTACCAAACCTTGCCCAGACAAGTCCTTCAAAAACCCTGCTTCACAGAAAAGTCCGTCAGATATTCTAGGCTTGTAGGTTAAAGATGGATGCCCCAACATTGCAGAAGAACTTTGGGTGGCTGTCCAGGGAGCCAGCTGTTTCGGTCATTTGTTACATTTTTTGGGAAGTTGCTTGCTTGGACTTCCTGCTTACTCAGTTTATATTATTTCCTTCTTTGGTCTCTGAGGGAGTTGAAGACTAAATAATAATAGTTAAAAATTTCCTTGTCTACCTGATGCAGAAAACAAGTTGTGATAGAAAGTAAATTCGGTACAAGACTTTGGACTCACTAAGAAGGGGTAGATATGGAGTATTTTCTCTGAATTTGTCAAATGTAAATGGACTAGACTAGACATTGCTGATACTATTTATTGCCTGTATATATCGTATACAGTCATTGTACTTATTGTGTATAGTTTTTCTTATGCTTCCTTTTATTTTAGACAAAAAAGGGGAAATGTAGTGATATTTCATTTGTATTCTAATAAATAAAGCTTGACTGAAGTTCAGAGAGTAAAACAGCCACACTGGTTAGCCATACAGACCAGGCAGTGGGGACACACACCTATTAATACCAGTAGCCACACTAGTTAGCCATAGAAGTGATGCAATGGTGGCTCACACCTTTAATCCCAGCACTTGGGAGGCAGAGGTAGGTTGATCTCTGTGAGTTCAAGGCCAGGCTGGTCTTCACAGTGAGCCAGAGATACACGAGAAACCATGCCTGGAAAAAACAACAAAAAGATTGGGAAAACCTGCTATGTAGCTTATTCTGTCCCACGGTCCTAGAGACCAAATACATAGTCTGCTGCTAAGTATTTTCAGTGTCCTCTGTAAGATTAGGAATACATAAGGAAAAGAGTCTCATTAAGAGGAAAATGAACTAGCTGGTTTTCTTTCTTGTAAGTTCCTCTATGTAGCCCTGGCTAGCTTTAGACATGCAATCTGTCTGCCTCTGCCCAAAGAGTTGTGCATATAAGTGTAAGGGTAAGACTAGTTAGGTTTTGGGGGTTCTCTTGTTTCTGTTTGAAGATTTATATTTTATTTTTAACTCTGTGTATGGAGGACTAAGCACCGAGTGCAGGGACCCAGAGGCACTGAATTCCTTAAAGTAAGCTACCCCAAATGGCTGCTGGAAACTCAAGTCTTCTACAAAAACAGCACAACTCTTAATTACTGAGCCATCTCTTTAGTCCTCGTTTGTCTTTTGATTTTATATTTTGAAATAAATTCTATATACCCACCCATAGCATTTGAACTAGAAAACAAAGTATATCATTCTTGAAAAGAAGTTAGCACTAAAAGTACAAGGGTTTAGCACTGCGTTTTCTCAGACGTGTCAATACACTTTGCTCTTATTTATTCCCCACTTAACTATACATTCCCCTGCATCTCTATTGTTGGTTCCCTTCCTGCCCTTACTCCAACTGTTTTCATGTCAAGTGAATTCCACTACCTATGCCATTGCCTGCACTATTCCTTCTACTTTCAATACACACGCGCAGGCACACACATACCCCTAAATGTTTTCATATGAGAGTTTGTAATATTTTGCTTATCATAATAGTCAGTTCTATCCATTTTCCTACAAATGTCATGATTTTGCTTTTCTTTATTGCTGAAAAACAACCCCATGGTTTTTCATGGTCTATACAGCACATTTTATAAAACAATATTCTTAAATCCTTATAACTAATAGTGATACTAATGTTTAAAAGAATCATTAACAGGGAGCTGGAAAAATGGCTCAGTGGCTGCTGTTCCAGAGCACCCAAGTTCAATTCTCAGCACTTACATGGTGGCTCACTTCAGTTTCAGGGGATCTGACACATCAGTACACAGACATGCATGCAGGCAAAATATCAATGTACATTTTAAAAAAAAAAGTAACAACTCAGTTTAAAATGCTTAGGATGGGAATAAAGTTGAGTAGAGAGAACATGCTAAACAAGCCCCAAGCTTCGATCGAATTCAGCTCTGAGCACCAAATAGAGAACCGTAACAGTACTGACTGTTACAACTGATAAGAATATGAACATGAAGCCAGGCAGTGGTGGCGCACGCCTTTAATCCCACCACTCAGGAAGCAGAGGCAGGAGGATCTCTGTGAGTTCGAGACCAGCCTGGTCTACAAGAGCTAGTTCCAGGACAGGCTCCAAAACCATAGAGAAACCCTGTCTCGAAAAAACAAAACAACAACAAAAACAAAAGTAAAAAGCGGGTTGGGAATGTAGCACAGTGGTGGAATACTTACCCTGCGAGGTAGAAGGCCTTAAACTTAGCCCCCCGAGACTGCAGATGAAGTCACCATGCCAATACTTGAGAGTAGAGACAGGATGGTCAGGAGTTTGAGGTCATTCTTGGCTACAAGTTGAGTTCAAGTATAGCCAGCCACTGTTACACAAGAGCTCGTCTCAGGAAGGAGGAAAAAAACAAAAAGCCAACTGCTAGCCTGGAAAGGCGGTGCATTCCTTTAACCCCAGCAGCACTCGGGAGGCAGATGGATCTCTGAGTTCAAAGTTAGGGCTNAGAGAAACCCTGTCTCGAAAAAACCAAAAAAAAAAAAAAAAAAAGAATATGAATATGAAACCTAAGAGGTTTAAATAGCGAAAGACCTGGTACTAGAAACCGGGACCATAATTCCTAGGCTATCCTTACACATTACTCTAGGGCACAATCTATTGCGCCTCTTAGGATTGGGAATAAAAAGCTGGAGCAATGCCTCAGTGGCTAAGAGCACTTGCTGCTCTTTCAGAGAGGCCTGGAGTTCAATTCCCAGCACCAAGTCAGACAGAACCCAACTGCTTGTAAGTCCAGCTCCAGGGGACCCAACACCCTCTTTTGACCTCTGCACACACATGCACATATATACACAGACATACACACATATGCATAAATAAATAAAGATTAGGTTCGAAAAATTATGGTATAAAAATATGACCATCATGGTTATCAAAATGGATCAGCAGGTAAAGGCACCTGCTGCCAAACCTGATGACCTAAGATGATCCTTAAGACTCACAAAGTGGAAAGAAGTAACTCCTACAAGTGAATTCACACACTCCTTGTGTGAACACTCATACACATATAAATGAATGTACACAAAAAAAATAAATAATTCTTTATAAAAACTTCTGATACTACACCTACTTAAAGTTGGTTAATTTTGTGTCATAAACATAGTAAATTAAAGAATTAGAAATGAAAAAGATGTAATATGTAGGTAAGAAAAGAAATTTGTAGACAAATATAAAAATCAGTTATCTACTCACTGTAATTTTTTTTAAGTACAAAGAAAAGACTCCTAATAGCAGAGACCGATAGGATAATGATACCTACTGAAACACAGGCTGGGAAAGTGGGTGAGTCAGGGAAAGCGCCCTAGCATTGGTGAGTCAGGCTCTGGGTTCACTCAACTGCCAGTATCAGAACAAAACACTGACGTGGGTGTAAAATGTCAACTTGATTGGAGTTGGAATCAGAGAGACAACTCTGGGCATGTCTTTTGAAGACATTTCCAGAGTGGCTTTCTTGTTGTTTTGATTTGGTTTGGATTTGGTTATTGAGGCGTCATCACTACTATATCCCTGACTGGCCTGGAACTGCTTTGTAAACCAGGTTGACCTTGAACAAGAGATCCGCCTGCCTCTGCCTCCAAAACACTAGGACTAACTCCAGAGTTTAGCTGAGGAAAGACCCACCTTAAATGTGGAAGTACCATACCACAGGCTAGGAGAAAAGACAGCAAACTGGCACGTGCCACAGTGCCCCCCTCGTCTGGACTGCAGACAGGACATCAGTTCGTCCTCCTGCTGCTGTGCCCTATCTGCCACAACTGCATCCTCACGAGCTACAGGAACCAGATACCCTTCTGCCCTTCAACTGCACCTTGGTCAGTCACCAATACACAGATACCACCAATGAATCCTACAGAAGTGACTTTTTTTGTATTTCAAGTTACAATGGAAGCATAGCTTGCATTTGACAAGGGAAACCACTTAAAACATAGTATCAAGAAAGTAGAGAGCAAAATAGGATGCCCTGTATAGTAACACAGGTTTAAGCCAACTCCCCTATCTATGCTTGATTGATCCAAATTACCTCCTTTCCAACACACCGAATTTACAAAACTAAATTTTCAGTTGGATACAATGTGGAAAAGCTTGTGAACAAAATCAAGAATGAAAATGAAAAAGATTTTAAAAGTAGCAATTAGATGGTTGTGGTGGTAAACACTTAATAATCCAGCACTCTGAAGGTAGAGCCAGAAGGATCAGTAGTTCAAGCACACCGTGCTGTTACATAGCTTGGAGCCAGCCTGAAGTACACTAAGCCCTGTTCAAAAAAGAACTAGGAATGTAGCTTACTGGTAGAACCCTTATCTAGCACACATGAAGAAGATTTTGAGTTCAATCATCAGCACCCAAGAAAGAAACAAAAATCGATGTGATTCGGCCTGCTGGAATTTTCAACTTTTAACTTACTCTGAAGGTTAAAGAGCTCTGCCACTAGATCCAAGAAAGGAAAGTAACCTATGAAGTTCTTCTCTGAGATAGCGAAAAATAGTGAGTCTCGGGACTTCTTTATAAGGTTTTGAGGGGTTTTTGTTGTTGTTTTTGATATAATATACATTGCCCTGGCTAACCTGGAGCTCACTCTATAGACCAGACTGACCACAAACTCACAGAGATCCTCCTGCCTCTGCCTCCCAAGTGCTGGGATTAAAGTGCTAGCACATGCCACTGTTCCTGGCTTACAAACTTTTATCAGCAGAACTTACATTTTCTCAGGCTCATATTTACACATGTTCTCTCCCCAATTTAAAATATGATATTTGAAAATAAATACACTTGAGGCTGGAGAGATGGCTCAGTGGTTAAGACCACTGGCTGTTCTGTTCTTCAGGTTTCATTCCCAGCACCCACGTGATAGCTAGAAATCATTGCTAACTCCACAGGACTCTTGGGTCTTAGGGAAAATAAGATACACATGTGGTATACAGACATATATGAAGACAAAACATTCGAACACTTAAACCTAAAAAAAAAATTTTAAGATTTATATTTATTATGTATACAGTGTTCTGCCTGCATGTGTCCCTGCAGGCCAGAAGAGGGCACGAGATCTCATTACATACATGGTGGTTGCAGCCACCTCGCAACCATGTGGTTGCTGGGAATTGAACTAAGGACCTCTGGAAGAGCAGTCAATGCTCTTAACCTCTGAGCCATCTCGCCAAAGTTTTTAAGGGAAGATAACAAAAATCTTGCTAAGTGTGGTGGCTCAAGCCAATTATCTCAAACTTTCATGATACATTCCTTCTCCTAACAATAACAAGATCACCTACAATTTACCTGTTACATCAGGTAGCTGGGATATTCCCCTCAATGCCAGTGCCCAGGCAAGTCTAACAGTGGCCTGCAGCCCAGGAAGCTTCCAAGGCTGTGAGTCCTGGAGACGAGAATGAATTGTTGCAATGTACTGTCTCTCTGTCAACAGTGGAAGCTGATGAATCATATCTGAAAACACAAAAATAGACCACTTCACCAAAAGAGAACAGAAATAAACTCTCACTTCTGATATACAGGAATATCTACAAGTCAAAAACACTCAGCATTTTCAAAGGGAATTATGACTAACATTATTATTTGACAAAACAAAATCCACATTACAGTTAAGTATGATACAAACAGACCTGGCAACCTAAGTCTACCTCTTGGACTCATATGGCAATTAACTCCTGAAAGTTTTCTTCTAACACACACACACACACACACACACACACACACACACCCTGGATCACACAGTGAGACTCAAGGAAAAAGGCAGCCTTAAGAGGTATAAATACAAAATGCAATACCATCTCGTTCCTCTGTGCTTTGTTCTATAAAGCTGGTATCAAAACAGTAGAGAAGAGCCATAAGGAGAGCCAGATTCACTGCGTCCAGGGAGCCGTTAGCCTCAACCGTTACTCTTTCCAAATGTCCAATAAGGAGGAGGGTGTCATCTTTGGCTAATGGTGACTGGCAAGCCCAGGCAAAAAGACTTTCTGCCAGAGATTGCCTGCACTCCTTGATGAGATCAGAAACCTACAAGTGAAAACATAATTGTGATATAAATTTTATCAAGCCTGGTGTTGCAAAATGTAGACTATCTCCCATAAAAGTCGACAAAAACCGCTAATTAGAATCCATGAGTGATGTTAAAATTATCAGAATTCTGAAGAAATTCTAGGGTTTAGTCCTCTCTTTTCAAGTCCTTAAGAAATTGTGGTGACCAATTCCTTCAACAATTCATTCCAGAAATAACTAGACAACACGTAAACACTGACAGAGTAACTGGAATAACTACAAACCAATCCATGAGCAGAGCAGGGTTTCCATAGGAGTGGCTGCTCATACCTTGACTTCCAGAGGCAGGTGCCTGGTCTAAATAGCAAGTTCCAGACCAGTCAAATACTACCTAGTGAGATCCTGTCTCAAAAAAGGGGGAGTGGGTGGGAGGCAGTGATGGTACACACCTTTAATCCCACCGTGGCAGAGGAAGGTGGATCTCTGTAAGTTCAAGGCCAGCCGGGTCAACAAAGTGAGTGACAGGACAGTCAGAAAAACCTTATCTCAAAAAACAAAAACAAGAACCTCTGTTTTATGGAGCTGGAGAGGTAGCTCAGTGGTTAAGAGCACTGGCTGGTTTCCCAAAGTACACCGAGCACACACAAAGGCTCACTCACAACCTTCTATAACTACAGTTCCAGGGGATCCTCTACCCTTTTGTGATCTCTGAAGGTACTGCACACACATGGTGCACAGACATATAGGCAGGCTAAATAAACACACACATATTCAAACAAATAAGTAAATATAAAAGGGGGGAAGGATGGGAGAGATGGCTCAGTGGTTGAGAGCATTGTCTACTCTTCCAGAGGACCCGGGTTCAATTTCTAGTACCCACATCATGGCTCATAAGTGTCTGCAACTTCAGTTCCAAGGAATCTGACACCCTCACAGAGACATACAGGTAGGCAAATGATCAATGCACACAAAATAAAATAGATAAATAATTTTAAAAGGTAGCAGTGATGATGATGATGAAACACAGAATTTTCTTCTGCCTAGGTGAAATTAATGTTTCATATTTGACAAAGATTCCCATTAAGTCATTTTATAGAACCCTTGCCTCTTTGCGGTGTTTCTCACTGCCCAAACCTCTCTCTCTCTGTAGTTTCTCAAACTCATTATTCACGTCAATCTGTGACACCAAAGTAAGAACTTTGTAAGTCAATCCTTGTTCCATCAGCTCATCTGTAAAGCGTGTTGTCATGGAAACCAACTCTGGACTGTAATGAAAAGAAATAAACAATATATGAAACAAAAATACTGTCTTGACAGCAGCCTATTACTACAAACAACCAGGAGGAATTAGTTTTGTTCTTTTCACCCTCTCTCTCAGTCAGTTCAATAAGGCTCTAAGTGATTTCTCATGTGCAAACGAGGCAGGTTTAAACAAACTCATCACTCTGCAAAGAGCAGTGCAGTGTATTATTCACCTGAGGGCACAGTTTACTGAAACTGGATACACTCAGGGGAAATTGTTATTTCCAAAATTCAAATTCAAGTACTTTTACATTAACCCCTTAAGTCCCAAAGAGCAAACAGACCTGAGTTCCAATGTCCATGTCTTCCCTCGTCTAGACTGTATCAGGGTTTTAAGAGAATTTGCAATGCACCGCTTTCCATCCCAATATAAAAGGACAGCTACCAATCCTCTGGTGAGGCCAGGGAAGTGTGGCTGCTGATGTTCTCCTAGAAAAGGAATTGATTGTTTAGTAATAAAGTTCAAATGTGTTTGAACTGGAACACAAATCCTTACTCCAAAATTTATTCAAATAAGCAGAGTCTCAGAGTTAAGGGGACCCGGAGGACCCTGCTCCCTGATATTCCTGGCATAGCAGACTCAGGGCCACCCACCATATGTTAGGACGAACCCCAGCAAAAAGAACAAGAAACCATCACTTTCCAAACTCAGTTTCATCTGATTTCCTACACTGTGCCCTCTTTTCTTCACTCATATGAACTCTTGAAACGTTTTCAAGTTTCCTCCTTTCAAGGTCACTCTCCTCTAATCTGCACCACCTCCTGCCAAAACCTTCCTACCTCTTTCCTACACCATGAGACTGTGCTCCTCCACACTAAAGGAGGCTTTACTCACCTTCATTTACACAAGTCTTCTCAGAGTAACTAGAACATGGTGATAGAGGGTATGTGTATTAAATTAGCCTTCTGGGCTGGGAACCTGGTTAAGTGGGTAGTGTTTGCCTGCCAAGCTAAGGCCCTGGTTCTATCTCTAGCACTGCCAGGAAAAAAAGCACAAAGTCCTGAAATGAATTTAAAACTCAAGTGCACTAAGACAACATCCCCACACACAAGGGAAAACTATCTTCACCCTCTTTGAAATTACTGTTCAACTAAGATGTCTGTATTTCCTTTGCATGACTCCTTGTGATCACTAATAAACTGCGTATTTTATGGAAATACTGATCTTTACATAGTAGCCACAAACTAATTTTTTTTTCCAAAACAGGATTTCTCTGTGTATCTCTGGCTGTCCAGAAACTCACTCTGTAGACCAGGCTGGCTTCGAACTCTGATCTGCCTGCCTCTGCCTCCTGAGTGCTGGAATTAAAGGCGTAGTTATCTGGGATTATATGTGTTTGTGCTAATCCTCTAGTAGTACCTTACTACTGCAATGAGAATAAAGTCCAAACATCTGCACTTTCCTCCACTAGCCCCTATTCACCAGGTTCCAGGCTCAGGAGTCTTCTTCCCTTAAACATGTATTTATTCAGACCGGAAGCACATGTCTTTGTACCTCTATCAGCCTTCCCCAAGAAGTCTGGGTGGCTGGGATTCACAGGTGACTCAGGCCTCAGGTCAAATGTCCTCACCTTGGAGAGGCCTTGACTAAGCCTATCAGACTATCTTAACAGTCCTGATATCTCTATGCCCCATGCCCACCAAGTTTATTTTCTTCCTAGTATTATTATTAAAATTATCTAATTTTTCACCTAGATGCCCATCATCTACCTAGCCTCCTCCAGAAGACAGTCCAAAACAGCAGTAAACCTTGCCCTCCTACTCACTGCATGACAGGGCTTGCCTTGAGCCATGCAATTCTAGAGATGTAACTTAATCTTTGCTAGTAAATTACTACGTCAAGATCTACCTTAAGGCAGTTCAGCAACAACTGGAATCACTAAGCTTGCCCTTTAATCCAGATAAATATTTTGAATCATTCTGTCAAATAAATGATATCTTTAAAAACAATGTGCTAGGGGGCTAGACAGATGGCTCAGCAGTTAAGAGCATTTCCCAGCACCCACAAAGTGGTCCACAATCACCAGTAACTCAAGCTGCGGGCTCTAACACCCTCTTCTGACCTCCCACAGCACTCGAATGAGTATGGTACCCATACACACACCAGGTACACACACATGCATAAAATAAACAAATAAACATTTTAAACCCATTTGTTACCCCAGCATTAAATTCTAAGTCAGGAGTACATACCATCATGATTCTGTACTACGTACCACAGTTTCACCCAAATGTCAACTTACCAGCAAGGAGAAGCTCAACAGCTGACAACTCCCCAATATCAAAAAGGTCACTGATGATAAAAGCTTCTTTAATGAGCTGCTCAGGGAGAAGTCTGGTTCCTTGTTGCCCCTGGATGGCAACACCCTCTGTACCGGCTTTCTGAACCTTCTCATGCTGTTGAACGTTTTTTGGCTAGAATGATAAAATTATAATCAAGCAATGAAAACAGTATATTGGAGGCAAGGTCCTACAAGTGCTCCTAGCACTTTCCACATAATGCAGCCTGACTTGCCTTGGCAGCACAGACCGCTAATCCTAACACTCAGAGGCCAGGTAAGCAGAGTCAAGGCCAACCTGGGTGAAAACAAAAACAACACAGCCTGGTAGCAGACCAAACTCAAGTGTTTCTTATCTAGTAATCTAGAACTGGAGGATATGAGGCAACACTTGGCACTGCCTTCAACTTCTTAATTCAGTACTACCTTCTCAAAACTTCTACAAAGTTAGAAAACCCAGAGAAAACACAAATACTACTACTCTGTTTTCCACATGTTGAAGCGACTTTTCTAGTTACATACCAATAATCCAAACAGACATACAAGCTGTATTAAATAATGAGCAATAGCATTACTTTGTAGAGTTAATCATGGATTTTATTTGCTATAAAATCTTTCTCTGTGTGTGGTGGTGGGGATGTAACCCATAGATAGAAAGATGGTAGGCAAGTGACCTAGCACTAAGTTACCTCACTAGCTCCCCCTAAAGACTCCTTGACTGAAATATTTACAAAAGACACAGAGAAGCCTCTGCCAGATAACAAGCTGTCAAAGTTCAGGTCCTAAAGAACTGCCTGGGTCATTTAGCACAGCGCCTCTACCATGCAGAAATGGCACCAACAAGGTAAGTTAGGTAACTTGTTTGAGATCATGAGGTGGTGTAGGAGGCCCTTCTGTATTTGTACTGCTTTCATTGGTTGAATAAAGAAACTGCCTTGGCCTTTTGATAGGGCAGACTTAGATAGGCAGAAGAAGAAAGCAGAGACAGGCAGACACCATGATTCTCCTGCCTGAGACTGACACTGGTTAGCATCTCTCCCGGTAAGCCATGACCTCGTGGTACTACACACATTACTAGATATGGGTTAAAGCAAGATGTGAGAGTTAGCCAAGAAGAGGCTAGATATAATGGGCCAGGCAGTAATTTAATTAATACAATTTCTATGTGGTTATTTCGGGGGCTAAGCTAGCTGGGCAGCCAGACGAAAAGCAGGCCCACTCCTCATACTACAATGAGGGAGAGTCAAGATAGAAGATTCAGCAGAGTTTACTCCCGGCTCCAAGTCAGGGCTCCTTCTACTAAGGAAAATCACAAGAAAGACAGGCCTGGTGGAACAGGCCCACATCCCAGCTAGCTACTCAGGATAGTAGGTCCAAGGCCAGCCTGGGTAAACTGAAAAGTTTCAAAAATAAAAAGACTGTTAAAAATAAAGTACAAAAGGGCTGGTAATACAGCTCACGGTAGAATGCTTTCATAGTATGCACAAGAGCACAAGATTTAATCTCTAGAAACACACCCCACTCCCAAACACACACAAGCAAGAAAAAAAGGAAAAGCAAAAGAACTAAAAAGCAAAACGCCAAACTAGTGAAATGGCTTACTGCAATAAGGAACTTGATGTCCCATGCCTGGAGACGGAAGTTCAATCCCTAGAACCCACAGTGAAAAAAGCAGACTCAACCACCAAAAGTCGTCTCCTGACCTCACTCATGCACTATGCATATACACATCCACAAAAGATAAATGCTTTTTTAAAAAAAAAAGCAATAACTCACTTCTTGTAGCACAATGTTGTAAATCTTACATCATCATACTAGTACATTAAAAAAAAAAAACAACTGTCAGACAGATATGACTGTTCATGTCATGTCTATAATCTCTGCATTCCAGAGGCTGAGACAGGAGGATAAAAGCCAACCTGAGCTACGCAGAGTTCCAAGCTAGCCTTAGATACAGACACAGCTGATTACTCTTATGAACTACCTCAAACAACCAGAAAATTGTGCAGGAGCAAAGGAAGAAGTTTGTAAACTCAAATCCCTCCACTGTAGTACCTTCCTACTTGAGAAGGTGTCAAGATACAGTAATGATATGTAAAAAATAATTCAGCTAATACAATTTACATTACACTATGGAGACTTAAAATTCAGGATACCTGGAAATCATAACCAGTGAAGGTCAGGGTACTAGGAAAGGCAGGAAGTATAAGGCACCAGCATTTGTGGGATATACTGCATTTCCTAAACCATCTTTAGATACTACACTTACCACTTAGCTGGAGATAAATTCAATAGTAAGTTCCATGAAAAATAAAAAGACAATAAACTGTTTGGGAAAGGGGCATTTTGAAAAAGTCTGAATTGCACAGCACAGTTCAAGCACCAATGTTTACACACTGAGAGTTCACGTGTCTCTTCTTTTTTTTTTTTTTAAGATTTATTCATTTATTTACTATACATATAGTATTCTGCCTGTATGTGTACCTGCACCCCAGAGGAGGGCACTAGATCTCATTACAGATGGTTGTGATCCACCATGTGGTTGCTGGGAATTGAACTCAGAAGCTCTGGAAGAGGAATCAGTGTTCTTAATTGCTGAGCCATCTCTCCAGTCCCTGTTTTGTTTTGTTTTTTTTTCTTTAAAAAACAAACAAAACTGTGTTGGTGAGGTGGTTGAGCAGTGAAGTCTCCTGCCACCCTGCCTGAGGTCAAGTCCTGGGTCCCATGCACTGGAGAGAACTCACTACTGAAGTTGCCCTCTTCCCTCCATCTTTGGACCATAACATGCTCATGCCCACACCCCACATAATCAATCAATCAATCAATCAATAAATGTGACTAAAAAGATAATCACTCTCCGGATCTAATTTTTTAAAAAAAAAAAAAAAGAAGAAGAAGAAGAAGCAAATCTAAGAAGCAAAGAAGAAAATTTCCTACTGGGTTTTTAAACAGTGAGATGAAGTCCGGTTTGTGTTTCTTCAAAATCATGTCAAGAAGGTGGACAGCTTCAGGTTGTCTTCTCCAAAGAGCATTTACGACTGTGTGCCAAATGTCTTTGTAGGGCCCCCATAGGCTGGCAGCTTAAAGAAAAATAAAACCATCATGAAATAATACATGTCATCTACATGTTAGTCATACTCACACCTACCTTTTAGTACACAATTACCAAAGGAAGTATTAATGGCCATTCTCAATATAAAAAGATACATATGTTACATACATACACCAGCCAAAAACATAATAGTACAATTCATTAGAATTCTTTGGCAACAATATAAACTTGCTGTCTAACAAGAATAAAAAAAAAATCAAACAAACTTAAAGTGGATTGTCAGACAGCTGAACTTGGCATTTAGCATAGCAAATAAGGAAGTTAGGACTGATCTACGTAGGTTAAGCCTGCCTAAACCCAGACAGACCGTTTATTCAAAAATCACAGCAAGGGGAACCACAGGCAGTAAGACAAACAAGCCGGGCCTTTTAAGTGTTGCAAGAGGGACAGGGCAACTCTCAGTAGTAGAGCACGTGCTCAGCGTGTGGGGACCTTGGATTCAGCCCAATGCACACACAAAATTAAGTTTAGGAGACTAACAGAAGTTGTGAACAGGAGAGCCTGGGACCACAAGTGTATCTTGGCAGTGGAAGACAAGCTTATCGTGCAAAATGCCTGGCTCAATTTCCAGGACCAGAAGCACTGTGTCAGGTCTTCTATGTGAGGATGTGGAGAATAGGAGTCAACACATCTCAATCTTCCTTAGCAAGTATCATTCAACTTCCTGTTTTGCTTCTACTTCAATCCCGTTTGCCAATCTTTTGATTACAAGTATAGCTTTTTATCAGCCAGATGTAGTGGCACAAACCTACAACAAATATCAGCTATGTGGTCAGATGAGGCAGGAGAACTCCTGAGTGAGATATGCCTGGACAGCACCTCAAGATCCCATTCCAAAACAAACTGTTACTTGTCAGGCGACCCTCTCCAGTGAAGAGCCTGCTGACAGAGCTGCCACAAGTACCCCCCCACACATACTGCTACCACCATCAATGCGTTAGAGTGCAGGTTTGCCTATGGGTCTTTCCTGAATTTTATTAAAGAAGTCAATCAACAGGACCTAGTTACAGCTAGACACACTGACAAAAGTCACTTCTGAGTCTATTGAACTGACCCTTGGCCCTGGTAACTTCTCTCAGGACCATTTTCTTGACCCTCTCTTTGTAAAGGTAAAGGACAGCATAGGTTTGAGCTTTGGATTGCAGCACAGACTAAAAAGTTTGAGCAGTAACGTGAGGCTCAAAAAGTTTCTCAACTAGTACACTCCATGCAATTATACCCTCCAAAAAAACATACAGTTTTGATCTCAGCTATTAAAACAAGTGGGGTTCAACCTGTAGTTTGTGACCCCAAAACAAAACAAATAAAGCCAGACCCCAAACATACAACTAGCAGAGTGGACAATGATATTCTAGGGCATGGGTACTGGACTAGGAAGTGTTGGGAAGCCAAGGTAATAGGTAGGTAAGGCGGTAATGGAAGCTACACTAAGGTGAGGACAGTAAAACAGGAAGGGCCTGTAGGAGTAGAAAGGAATTAGAACTGGCAACTGAGTGGGTACAGGATACAAGGAAAAGTCTCAAAACTGACCCAGGGTGGCTCAGTGTAGAACTCAAAGCCCTGGGTTCAATCCCTGTAGTGGTGGTGGGGGAGTAATGGGGGAGTTTCAGGAAAACCGGAAAAAGTCTTATCACAGAGATTTCAGAAACAGCCATGAAGGCACAAACACATCTGTAATACCAATTCTCAGAAGGCTGAGGCAGGAGAAAAATTTGAGGCCAAACTAGGCTATACTGTAAAACACACACATACATACAATACACACACACACACACACACACACACACACACACACACACACACACACACAGCAGGTGCCTGTGGAGTCCAGAAAAGGACATTAGAGCCACTGGAGCTGCAGGTGCTGAGCCTGATGTGAGGGCTGGAAGCCTAACTTCGGCCCTGTGTAAGAGCACTCAGCCACCGACCCACCTCTCCAGCCCCAAATTTAGTGGACATTTTAAATCCTCATCAGTGAGCTTTCAGGGCAAAAACCAGAATCCTAAGCACCCTGCACAGGGTGGCAATGGCCTACCTTGTCAGATCTATTTGCTGTACCCCTGCCGTCTTGATCTTTAGGTCTTTGAAGGTGCAGTCTTTTCTCCCGACTGTGGAACCCACCCGGTGTACTCACATCCTTAAATACTTATCTTACCTCATAGACATCAGTCCATTCTCAGTTTTTTTTTTTTCAATATTAGTTCATTCATACTTCCCAAATCCTTCCCTCCCCCGACCTCCCCAGCTAGGTCAAATACCCTTACTATGAACCCTCTTGCCTTGATTACCTTTCAGACCACTTAGGCAACTGAGTTTGTTTTCTTATTGAACTGAACTTACCAGTGTCTCATACATGGTGAATGAGTAAATGTGATATCCTAGAAGTATCCCAAAACATTAAAAGAAATAAATATACTTCTCAAGGTTAGTTAATTATATTAAAAATACACATTTAGAAGTTTGGAAAATGTATTGCTCTTCATTTCTTACTGGTAAAAGGATAATTACTGAAATTGCAAAACTAAATAAATCTTATATACTTATGTTTGTTGATGTGCTGAGATTCATATTCAACTGAGAAGACCAGTTGTGATTTGTGTGCATATTTTTGATCTGTTACTGACTGACTCATTAACAGGAAAACACCCAAACTTTTCTATGTAATTTACTGAGCTTGTACACTAATCATGTGTAGTTCATAGACAGTTATTAGTTCTTCAGAAGTCTTTTTAAAATATTTACCTTTTTCAATTACATGTATGCATGTGTATGTCTGCACAGTAGTGCGTTGCTCATGGAGACCAGAGGAGAGCTTTGTATCTCCTGGAATAACAGACTGTTGTGTGGGAGCGGTCAGGATAGATGTTGGGAGGAACATACACACACACAATTAAAAATCTGTTAAATTTGGTGAACTATGTAACATAGAACCCTAATCAGAGCTGTTTAGAAGGACAGAAACAAACTAAATGCTTACAACCTTAGGAGACATAGAAACAAATGGAGCCAATGAGTGCATACCTAATCTCCTACAAGGTTTGACAATGGAGAAGCAAGAGAAATGGTAAATAAACTGAACATGAGATCAAGGTAAAGACAGGCTACTCCTCGGATCTCTAAGTTCGAGGCCAGCCTGGTCTACAGAGTAAGTTCCAAGTACACAACAGGTGCCAAAGCTACAGAGAAACCCTGCCTTGAAAAACTAGAAAGGAAGGAAGGAAGGAAGGAAGGAAGGAAGGAAGGAAGGAAGGAAGGAAGGAAGGAAGGAAGGAAGGAAGGAAGGAAGGAAAATGGAGCGAGAGGAAGCCACACAAAAGAGAGAAAGAGTAACAGAGGAAGAACAAAAAGGGTGGGATTTACCTTGGGCAAGGTAGCAGAAGGAAGCTAAGTGCAAAGGTATCTAGATTCTCAGGCAAGGGAGTGAAAAGATGCCTGCTGGCTTTTCTTTTCTTACCTTTCTGGAGGGCAAAGGTTTGAGAAGCGGAAAAGGTATGAAAGAGTCACCACTGTGAATAAAACAGGGTGACCAGGTAGCCTGGCATGTCGGTGGCTGCTTACAAGCTTGTTTGTGAGTGGATCTCCTCAGCAGGCATGGCAGTCACAACAGTGAGAGCCATTCGGTCCAACCCAAGACAGGTATAAGAACTCTAGCCGTCAACCACCCTTTCCTCTCCACCCTACTGTATGTTTAAGGTTTTGTTGTGACTAGAGAAATAATAGAAAAAATGGCAAGACAGCAGCTTAGCTACTCTTGTGAACAGCAGCATCAAGCATATTCACACAGTTGTTGCAACATACTGTTACCTTTCCAATGCTGCAAAGCTGAAACGCTGAGGCAGGCCTAGAGCTTCATGCCTGTAACCTGTAACCACACAGCACTTGGGAGACTGAGGGAGGTTATTCTGGGCTACACAGGTAATTGCTGGCTAGCCTATGCTACATCATGAGCCTGCTCCCCCCACGCACACATTTCTCTGCAATCTGAAACTTTATACTCACCACTACCACCTTTCACTGTTCTAGCCCCTGGCAACTGCCATTCTAAGCCCACTTTTTTAAACTTCTTTTTAGTGTACATGTCATATTCCACTTATCCATTCACCCATCATCCATTCAGCTATGGATGCTTAAGTTCTTCCCAAAGATGATAAACAAAAAGAAAATAACTCTCTTGACTACTGGCTTTTTCAAATGCATTCTTTTCTTGCTGCTAATTAAAGCTCTCCTGTACAATGTCCACTCCTGGGAGCTACTGACAACTAACTGCTTCTTTCCCTGCATGGCTTGTGTTTAAGAGTAAGGATATTATGTGCTAAGAATATATGTAACACAACTACCACATGGAAGTCATGCCTTTTAAAAATTTTAGTAATATAATATTTATCTACAGGGGGCGTGATGTGACATCACAAAATCAACGAAGCTGTGCTTAAAACCACTAACGGTTTAATCTTGGATAAATTTAACCTCTACAAGTCTTTACTTCAAAATTAAATCTGAGATATTTAACCACATTACTCCATGGGTTAGAAAGGAACTAAATGAGATAAAGCAAGGCTAATACTTGACCCAGTGCTGAGGCATAGTACGTGTTCAATAAACAGAAAATTTCATCTCTACAGAACAATTTATCATACCACTTCTGAGATGGTTTAATGTTCAAAACTCAGATTTGGGCAGTTTTCAAAACTATTAGTAACGTGGCAAGAACCGGTATCAAAATAAACAGTTTAGAAACCAAACACTCAAGAGTGCTCCTGAACGACACTGCAAGCATTTGTTTTACCGACTCTTAAATTGCACTCGTGAATCAAGTGTCTAAATCTGATTTCGGGAGTGCCACGCCTCAGGCAGAATGTTTGACATCTACGTCCTCCCTGCTAATGGCCAGCAATGTGCTCCAGGAACAAGTCAAAAGCCATCCCCTTTTTCAAGCATCTCTGGGGGTTCGAATCACCAAATCACCCGCCCCAACCTTTCCATAGCTCCGTCACTATCCGGGTCGGCAGTTACGAAGGTGCAGGAGGGGCGACACCCGCAGGATCGGGAGGTATCTGCTGAATCCCTGACACCCCCTTGCCGGGCACCTTCTGTAAGGTGCTCGCAGCTTGCACAACGTCAGTTCCCACCCTGAGCCCGCCCGGCCCACAGCCTGCTTTGCGCTTTCTTCCACCCTAGGCTCGGCCTCAGTGCTCGAGACGGCAGCCGTACCCCGGCGAAAGCTGGACTGCACACGCACAAAGGACACGAGGTGGGAGGAAGCAGGCTCGGCGCCGCACGCCCGGCTCTCCGCCTCCACTTCCAACGCCCATCTCCTCCCGGGCAAAGCGGCAGCCGCGCCGCGCGCCATTCAAACTGGGAGGCGCGGGGCTGCAGGCCAGAACGCGGAGAGAGCAGGCGTCGCGCACAGACCCGCGCCCGCACTCCCAAGAGCCTCCCCGCGCGGGCGCTCCCTCCAGGCCGGCCCCGCCCTGCCCCGTGGGTCCCCGCGGGTCCCCCACGGCCCTGCGCGCTCACCCGAATTTACCGCCAACAGCGCCGCCATCTTGGAGGAGGACTGCCGGAGCTCTCCTGCCGCAGGGAGGACCCCGGACCGGAGGGCCTGCCCGCGGCGACGCCTGAACAGAAAGGCGCCCCGAGTCCCCCTGAGAACCGCGTGCGGGGCTCGAGCAGGTGTGCGCAAAACTCCGGACTCGGCTCTGACCCATAGTTATCGATTCTCACTTAGACCATTCCCGTTCAAATAAGGCGAGGGCAGCCGGTTCGGAGACTAATCGTGCGCTGCATCCTGGGACTTGTAGTTTATTTCTAGTGAGACGCGAAGTTAGCTAGTATGAAAAACGTACATCACTGGAATAGTAAAAAAAAGTTCTTCGAAAGACGCCCACCTATGGTTTTATAAAAATCCTTAAAAACAAATCGTTACTATCATTTCAATTTAAATTGTATTTGACGCTCTTCCTTACCTTGAGGGAGTAGAACGAAGTGAGACTTAAGTGATTATGGCATTTCTATTTAGTAAGCATATTGTGTAGACATAGTCACACTGTATTATGAAATTTTCAGACATCTGCAAAATTAGAATACGATCTTCCAGGTTTAAAAAATGTCACCCATTTGCTTCCTCATTCCCAAAAGATTATTTTGAAGTAAATTCCAGACACAATTTCATAATAACCAAGTGTTTTTCTACCTGAACGACCAAAAAAACTAAACTCACTTGTTAAATTTTTATTTGCTAACTTTTATGTTTTTATATGTGTTTAATTTTACAGTACTGGGTATTCAACCTACGGCCTGGCTCATGTTATACCCAAAGCCCTTTTAAAACTCTTTTTTATTATTTTACTTTATGAGTATGATGTTTTGCCTGCCTGCATGTTAAGTCTGTGTGTGGTGTATGTATGTGCCTGGTGCCATAAGAGGTCAGGAGAGAGCTTCAGATCCCAGAACAAGAGTTACGGATGATTGTGAGGGGCCACTGAGACAGATTAGAGAGAACCGCTTCTTCCTTGGCACGTGGGTGCGGGAGTGAATCACTGTTAAGTATTATTAAATACTATTGAGTAACTCTTTAAAAAGCTCAACAATAATTTTATTACAATTAGAGAAAAAACATAGTACAGGTTTAGTGAAAATCCCAGCAGCCACCAGGAGAGACGGAGAAAAAGTCATGCCTTTTAAGTTAATCATGGACTAGAAACAGACGTCTTAATAAGAAAGGGAAAGGACACGGTGGCACACACCTTTAATCTCAGCATTCAGAAGGCAGAGGCAGAAGGATCTCTGTGAATTCAAAGACAGCCTGGTCTACAAACTGAGCTCCAGAACACCCAGGGCTCTGTGACACAGAGAAACCCTGTGGGGGGGGGGGGACTGAGAGGGAGGGAGAAAAAAAAGAAAGGAAAAGCACTTCCAAGAATGGAAGTGGGCTAGCGAGTGGGGGAAAAGAGCCCAAAAAAGCCCACTAACTAACTTCTAAATGCTATTAGAATTGTTATTTCCGACTCCAGCTTTCATTAAGTGTATTGTAAAATCCGTGTAATTTTCTGCGGATGATTGCAACTGTCAAGAATGGACTTTTTGACAGTTCTTCACTTAGACTTGGGAGCCTTCAATGGAGAGCTGGGAGCCCAGCAGCCTTTTACTGGCAACGGCCCAGACTGCCGGTACAGCAGCCCCACGATTTTGGATCGTGTACGGTCACCCTAAGGATCCTGTAGCATCTACACAGCTGAAGACATTCTCCTGCCATGGTCACTCCAGACAGCCTGGACTGGCCATTGCATGTACTGTATAATAAGAACTCTAAATGACCCTGTAGTCATTTTCACCTGGGCTACAGGAGGTGCACTCTTCCTGGTGTTAGCTCATCAGAGGGTTTGGAATTGATGCAGATCATAAGTCCTTGTATGCATGAAGGATTGTGTCATGATTGGTGCAAACACCCCTACTGCATATCCTTTCTGGTTATATAAGCAGACTGGCTCTCATTTCGAGTCAGCTGGGAGGCACCCTTTTTGTACTGTCCCTGCTGTTGCATCCTTAAGACCACTAAAAGGCTTCTCTCAAAAAAAAAAAAAAAGTCTATTTCTTTAATCTTTAAAATTAGTATGGCATGCTGAGCTGGTAACATAAAGACAGGACAGTTGAGGTGACAGCGAGCAGTGAACGAAGCAAAGGTGGCAGGGGAAGGCAATAGCAGCAACAGCAGCAGTTTCAGCAACAGAGGTTCCCCAGGGGGATGGGGTACCGAAATCCTAAGACATGACAGAGACGAGAATGGATGGTGGCAATCTAAAGAAGTCAAGAGAGGACAGATCCTCAACGCTAAAGATAGAAGACCATGAAGAACCAGAGGGGATGGGAAACTGTGGACTTTTGTTGGTGGAAGGGAGAGGTCTAGGGAGCTGCTAAACCTATGGTCCTGAGACTCTCGGCCTGAGAGCTGAAATACATTGACAATGACTATGGACCTGACACCTAGACCCGAGAGCTGTGGCACTAATGAACACTACTTGCTGCTGCCTCCTGGTGCTGCTTGCTACTTCTAGAAGCCAAGAATTACCATAGTCCCCGATTGGCAGAAACATGGATGGTATGGTGGTCAGTATTGTCAAGTAGACAGAATCTAGACCCAGCCGTGAGAATGCCTGCAGATGGTTCTTTCGATTGTTTATTGAGACAGGATAAAGGGCCACTGTGGGCGGCACCATTCCCTGGCCATGAGTGGAGCGGGGGAGCTGAGCAGCAGCATGCGTGGATTCCTCACGCTCTGCTTCCTGAGGACGGATGTGATGTACCCAGTTACTTCAGGCTCCTGCTGTCGAGACCCCCCAGCCGTGAGAGCTTGTACCCTTGCGCTGAGTGGAAATAAATCCGTACTCTCTTGAGCAGTGTTTGTCAGAATCACAGCAACAGAACAGACAAAGATGGAGGGGAAAGGTAAGAGCAGTAAGTCTTGAGCCAGAGTACTTTGAATAAGTTTCTAACTTCAAAATTCTGGAGCAATAAGTCTTTACTTCCAGAGCCGGGAACTGTCAACTTCTGGTCCTCTGCTCTAAATCCTAGGTCTTGGGTCCTCAAGCGCTATAAACTGTCACACTGAAAGAACTCCACCACCCACTTGAGATTCCTATGTTGGAACAACGGGACTCTTACCCAGGTGTAAAACCATCCTTAGCCACAAAAACACCAAAGTCAGAAACATGAGATCATTCCATGAGTCTCCTTCGTCCTCCTGGGAGAAGGAAATTCTTGAGTTGCGTACCAAGGCCTCTGCAACTGTTCTGCATGTCTGAATTGCCTTTTCCTTCCTTTCCTGCCGGCTGAGAAGTGCTCACTAACTGATCCTCTAGTCACAGCACTTCTCCAAGGCAAAGGGTCTGTGTTAGTGGAAACTGCACAGTGCCATCCTCAATCCCTTCCTACTGCCACAGCTGACTCGGGCTTCTCTACTGGTAACCCCATCGCCCTGTTTTACCTCTCTGTGTGATAGTCCTATGCCCCCTGACACTTGCCTTCTCACTCAAACTATTAGCTTATTGGAGCCAATGGGTATTAAAAGGCTGCCTCTGAGAAATCCCTGCCCTGGAATACTGTTAGTCTTGTGGGGGAGAAGGAAGTACATTCCCCTTAGATCCCCCATCCCAGGGACTGACAATCATAATGAAGCAAACGGACCATGTGAAAAGGCGACTTTCCATATGCTGGGCTCTTCCAGCCCATCCTTACGTCCCCAGTCCTGCTTATTTCCAATCCATCTTCCATCCTGTAACCTGCTTCTTCCTAAAACCCTTCCTCTTCTCTTTGTTCCCCATCTTCTTTCTCCCTGAATGTCTGCTGATATGGTCTTTGTAGAGCATCCCTTCTTCATCTCATTACTCTTCTTTGGCCTTCAGGTCTCAACCCAGGCATTACCCCATTACCCTATTGTCTCACCCCAATCCTAACCCAGGTTAGGGTAAAATCCCCTCCTGTGCTCTCCCACAATGTACAGCTTTTTGTAACTTCTTCCTTCTGAACAGAAATAACCACATAGAGTAGTGCCCAGTAACTAATGAATAAAAGTTTGTCAGATGAGTGGGACTGAGCAAAAGAAAGCTGCTATCTTCCTCAATGCCATCAATGGGTCTCTCTTTGTAGCCCTCCTTGACCATCATGGAACTCACTGTGTAAACCAGGCTGGCCTCAAACACATGGAGATCCACCTGCCTCTGCCTCTGAGTTCTGGGATTAAAGGCATGTACCATCTCTCCTGGTCTTACTTGGATTTTAAATGTCCCCCAAAGCTCATGTGCTGAAAAACTTGTTCCCCAGTGCAACAGCATTCAGAAGCAAGGCCTTTGGGACTGACTGGGTAGTGAGAGCTCTGATTTCATGGAATGCCTCAGCAGCAGGATAGATGAACTTGCCAGTGAGAGCAATGACAAGCAGGCAAAATGCAGAAGTTTTTTTCTTCCATGCCCTTTTGTGGGGGCTGCCAGCAAAAGGTGTGGCCAAGATTTAGGGCGAGTCTTCCTATCTCAAATGATCTAGTCAAGAAATGATCTAGTCTAGTCACTTCACAGGCGTGTCCAGCCGCTTGAGTTTTAGTTGATTTCAGATGCAATCAACTGGACAAACAAGATTAGCCATCACATGAGCTAGGACGCTGTGATGATAGTCAGGGGGCTGGTTTGTTCATAGCTTCCTGTTCATGGTAGCCAGGCACTTCAGTGTCCTCTGGGGCAGGAGCTATGGGTCATTGGTAGAGTGCTTGGCACGCTTATGCCCTGCCATGGGTTCTATCACCAACAAACCAGAGATCTGTGAACTGTATGGACTGTAATTTGCAAACCCGCACTCTCGGCTGTGAGTTTGCAGAATAGTTCCTGTCTTAGTCTTCCTGAGTAAGGACTTCGTGACAGGGCCTGGAGAGAGGGCTCAGTGGTCAAGAGCAGTCACTGATTTGTCTTGAGAACCAGAATTGGGTTCCCAACAATGACATCAAGCCACTTATAATAGCCTGTAACCACAGCTTTAGGGATGCTAAAGTCCTCTTCTGGCCTCCACTGACATTAGCATGCATGTTTGCAAACACATGCAGACACTCACGTACTCACATACACAATAAGTGACATTAAATTTCCTTCATAAAGGACCTTCAAAAATATAAGCCAAATATGGGACAAAGTTTGATACCGATAAATACCTAAAATTAAAACTGGCTTAAAAAAAAAAA